AGCCCTCTCTTGTACCTCTTCCTACTGTCTTAGATATATATACATATGGAGGTGCAACGTTGAAGAAGGGATGGAGGAGGCAGCGAAGGCGCGAGAGAGAGTTGGTGTTTATATATATATATATATATATATATTGCAGTAAGTTGGAGTTTCTATCGCTTAACAACTCTTATTTGTCCATTAAACTGTAGCGGGGAGAGAGGAGAAACCCCCACAGTGTTCACGTCACGCTGTTCTAGCAAAGCCATCAACCCCCCCCCCCCAGTAGCACGTCGCAGGACTATTAGAGGGAGAGTGAAGTCAAGGCCCGCCCAGTTGATGTCTCGTCTGCGCCGACGTAGGCGAGCATCCGAAGCTTCCGTACACGCAGCGAACTCCACCGTGCGCCGGAACGTTGATGGATGTGCGGGCTCTTTGTGTATGTATAGTATTTCGGCAAGAGAGGGAGAAGAAGAGCGAGCTACGGCAGTCGCGAACTCTCCTCCCTCGAAGGAAATATATATATATAGCTTGCAGCAAGCGGCGTCATTTCGATTACCTGTGAAGGGCACAGGCGTTGTGTGAGAGAGACCACAACGGCGTCAAAAGCGAAAACAAAAAATGTACACCTGCTAATGAAAACAGCGAACACCGAACTGCGACAACACGACGGCTGCGGCAAGCAGCAGCAGCCCCCCGTTGGGCACGTACCGCTGCGTAGGAAAGAGAGGAGAAGAAAAAAGGCTGAGTGAGATGCCCCCGCTAACCCCAAAGGCGGGAGTGACACGAGGAACAACGAACTGAGGTGTGTGTGGGCGTATGTGCGGCCGGTTCGGTCGAAGGCGTTCCAGATGAAAACATCCACCACGAAACGTGAGAAAGAAAAATACAAAGCACACCTTGACCGCCGTGGTTTTGCCTGTGGGTCGCAAAGCTCGTTTGCGCGAGCACGCATGTGACGGCATGTTGGTCACTTGTTGAACTCGCGCCACTTCTGCTTCAGCTTTTCATACCGCGCCGTGCCTGCAGGGCCGCCGTCGCAGTAGATGCTAATACCTGCCCCGATCAGCGCGGGCGCACCACCCGAGACAACAACAAAGGTGAGCAGCGCCGCGGACACAGCGCGGTACGACGTCAACAGGGACTCCACATCTTCCGATAAGGTGCGAGGTGAGGCGGACCCACCCATGCGCACATCCCACCGCATCTTCCCCCACATCCCCGACACGGAGCTCACGGAAGGGACGCCGCTCGCGTTGGCGGTGGAGGTGGTGGTGGTGGTCGTTTGGGGGTGCTTGTAGGAGTCGTAGAGAACTGGGTAGGCGTACTGGGCCACGCTGAACCCGCCGACAACCTGAAACACAATCTGCGGTGCTGTGCGGTACATCTCGCTGACTTGGTTTTCCTATTCCTTCTGTATTTCTTCGAGGAGGAAAAGAGGGGTGGAATACGACTCCGCGAAGCTGCACGAGAGATAAAGGTTTTTAAAATAAGAAAGACGCGGAGATGAAGTCAGAGCTGCTGGTTTTGGATAGGTGAAGGTAACCGTTTCTCATGGCACACCACGAAACGCGGATAATATGTGCAGCTCAGACTGCGACAGCGAAGAGAAGAACAGGAAAGGAACAGGAAAGGGGGAGAGGAGGGAAGGAAGCAGAGATTGGACTCGAGTTGACGCTGTTTTTTTTCTATTGTTGATGTTGTTGGTCCACCACACGCGGAGGACAGAGAGAGAAACACGCACGCACAGCTGAGAGAAAACAACCTCGACGCGGATCCCAAACGTATCGGGACGAAGTAAGGTGAAGGGAAATTGCAATTCTTTTTGTTTGTTTGTTTGTTTGGAATGCACCTTCTTGCTCCGTCTTCTTGCTAGCGCCATCGCCGCAGCTGTTGATGATGGTTTTTTAATTAAGCGTCTGTGCTTCATTGTTTTGACGTCCGTGCCAGACGACCAACACCGGCGAAGCACGTCTTGACAGAGTAGATGGCATCCTCTTTCGCTAATTTCTTTCTTTCTGCAAAAAAACGGATGCGGCCGGCGTCCGCCACCAACCTCCCTCCCCCACAACAACAGCAAGATAAAGAGAGAGCGCCACAAGAAGGCACGAGTGTACAAGGTGTGGAGATCTAAAGGTGAAGAGAGACTCCCCTTCTCCTCCTCCCTCCAAAGGAAAGGAAAGGCGGTGGTGAAGGTCTCTAAATTAATAAAAGAAGAAGGAGATATGATGAAGGAGAGAATTACGTGGTGCATCTAGGGAAGTACAATACGAATACATACACAGAGAAAGGCAAGAAAAAAAAACGGGCGCGACAACCTCATCTGGGTGGTCCGCAAAACGCGCGCGAAGAAGCAACTGAATATATATACGGACGTAGATAAGGACGGCGCTTCGCTGCATTTAAAAGCTGGAGCGGCACGAGGCGAACTCAGCGGAACTGACGCTGCCCTCCTCCGCCTCCTCGCCGTTCTCCTCCATGCCTGCCCTGAGCGGGAGTTCACGAACGTCACCCGACAACGACGCTTCCTCTGCACCGCTGACTTCCTCTCGAGCGTCCAGCCCCGACAGCAGCAGGGAGTGAGGTGTACGAGACATCGCCTCCAGCGAGGTACCGCGGTTGAGACGCATCTCGAGAGATGGCGCACGGCCCGTGGACTTGGCTGCCAACTCTTCCCATTCCACACAAGACGAAGCACGCTCATTCTCGTCGAGGGACGCCACCTGCGCACCGCCACCACCGCCCTCCGCTGCGACTACCGTCGTCGCGGTCAGTCGTTCAGGAGGGCAGCAGGAGGACTCCAGATCGGTCACGTGAAGCACATGTGAAGAGGTTGCAAAACAACCTGTTGGAGTGGCGGACGACGGCGGCGGCGTTCCAACCGAACTGCTGGGCCGCTGCGAGCACGCATGGACGCTATCTCTGCGCGTCCTCTCGGGGATGCCACACAGGTCCATTTGGATCTCCTCCGCGTCGCCGCTCACCGCGTCAGACACGTCATCCTTCCCACAACAGGCGCCGCTGTACGCGGAGCACACCGCCTCCGCATTCGCCGCTGTATCAACACGTTGCCGACGTCGTAGCGGCTGCTGCCCCGCCAACGAAGTCGGCGAACAGAGCCGATGTCCCTCTGCGACGGCTGTCGCGCACACTGTTGTCGGCAGACTCTCTGACCGGCACCGCGCACGCGGCGACACCGACGTCTCGACGTCCACTTCCTGCATACTTTCTGTTTGAAGGATCGAAGCGCTCGCCGGCAGCCCGTCGGCCTCCTCCTCCTCTTCCGCCGCCGCTGTCGCATCCACGCGCGCCATCAGCACACAGCTGTTGTCGCTCACGTCGCACACCCCGTCAATGCGGCGCAGCTCGCGGCGCAGATCGTCGTCGACGCGGTGCGGGTGCAACGCCTCCAGCTGCTCCGCCGTGCTGCTGCGGTCGATGTCGTCCATGGCGAGCATGCTGCGCAGCTGCAGCCGCGTAAAGTAGCGGTACAACTCACTAGACGCCTGGTGCTGCTGCCGTAGCGGCTCGGTCGGAGAGGAAAGGGGAGTTGTAGTAGCCACAGCTTCATCGCCCTGGTCCGCACCGTCTGCGTCGCACAGCACCTCCTCCTCGTCGTCGCCGTTGTTCGGCACGCCGGCACGCACAGACTGCAGCGCGGCCATTCGCTTAAACACCTGATTCCGGTACACCTTCTCCTCCACCGTGCCACACGTCACGAGGCGGTACACGACGACGTCGCCCGTCTGCCCAATGCGGTGCACCCGGTCCACCGCCTGCGCATCCGCGGACGGGTTCCAGCTCGGGTCAAGCAGCACGACAGCCGTCGCGGCCGTGAAGGTTAGCCCTATCCCGCCCACCCGCCGCGTCAAGAGGCACACCCACACGCTCGGGTCGTCGTTGAAGCGCTGCACGGCGGCGAAACGGTGCTCGCTGGGAGTGTCGCTGTCGACCTGCAGATGTGTCACACCCCAGTCCGTTAGGAGGCAGCCCAGCAACCGCAGTACGCGTTTCGAGTGGGAGAAGACGAGCGACTTGCGGCACTGCCGGATGCAGCGCACGAGAAGCTGCAGCGTCACCCACAACTTCGACCCGGCGAAGACGTCGCCCATCTCCATCAGCGGGGCGGCGTACGGCTGCGCCACGGCGGCGGTGAAGGCGGCATCGACCAGGTTCAGCCACGGGTGATTGCAGATCTGCGAGAGCATCGTCAAGAGTAGCAGCGGGTTGGTGCCGACATCGTCGACATCAGCGCTGCCCGGCAAAGGTGGCGAGGGCGTCGCAGTGGCGACCTCCTTTGACTCCAGAAACGCCTCGTACTGCTGCCGTTGCACGTCGGACATACGCACCCACACCACCACGTCCTCCTTCGCACTCGCCACGGCGTTCGCGAAGTCCTTCTTCTCGCGGCGCAGCATGAAGGGGCGAATCGCGGCCCGCAGCTTGTGAAGCTCGACGGCGGCCGCCTCCCGCTGGCCCCGGCTCGCGTCCTTTTCGTTCCCCCGCAGCAGCATCGCGCTGATGGCGCTAAAGCCCGCGCGCGACGAGGGAAGAATCGACCCGTCAAGAAATTGGAAAACGCTCCACATGTCGTCGAACGAGTTCATCAGCGGGGTGCCGGTGAGGGCGACTTTGTGCCGAGCCGAGAGCGTCAGCGCGCTCTTGAAGGCGCAGGTGCGCGCATCTCGAATGAGGTGCGCTTCATCCAGCACCACGTAGTCCACGAGCGTCGCACTCATCAGCGCCGCATCCTGACGCAGCACGCCGTAGGTAGTAAGAAGGACGCAGGGCATGCCGTACGCTAACTTCCGCCACCGCGCCTGTCGTTTCTTCCGCTGGTCGTTGTGGATGATCTCGACCAAGCTGCCCATCTCCCTGCCATCCGCGCCGTCCCAGTCCGACAGCGCAGCCGCCCACATCGGCACCAGAGTGGGCGGTACAATGAGGATGGTTGTCTTGATGCTTTTGCGTCGGTAGAGCTCGCCGAGGAAGGCCGCCACCTGCACCGTCTTGCCGAGACCCATCTCATCCGCCAGCAGACACGCGCGGGACTTGCAGTGACGTGCGTAGAGCCACTGCACGCCCTCGCGCTGATGCGGAAGCAGTCGGGATTGCACAGAGTCGGGCAGCTGCAGCATCTCCTTCCGCAGTGTCGTTGCCGTTGACGTGGAGAACGGCGAGTCGGCTTGAGGAGCACATCGAGCTTTTTCTTGATTCCCCGCCTCATCGTGGCTGCCGGCGTGCCCCGTAGACGTGCCATCGCGTCCGCCGCCGTCGTCGTCGCTGTCGTGCGTCTGTCTCTTGTTTGTGAAGGCGGTCTTAGAGGCGGCGCTGGGGGCTGTGTTTACGCATGAAGCCTGCAAGGACGGGCGCTGAGGTGTTCTTTTGGCAGCAGAAACGCTGCGGTCTCCTGTCCAGGAAAGGAGATCCTCCAGCACATCGTCGTGCTCCATCCGGTCAGGGGCGGTGGAAGGAGGGGGGGAGGGAGGGAGAGAGAGAAAGCTGTTGCTGCTGCTTCTGCCTCTCTTCGCTGTCGTCACCGACTTCACGTTCTTTTATTGCTCTTCCCCTCGTGGAGGGCGGTGTTTGAAAACAAAAAAGGAAACAGCGTTTTTTGAGTGGGAAGAATGGGCGGGGAGAAGACGAGGTGAGAGGCTTCGAAGGGTCATCGCGTCAGGCGCCTCCTGCACGTCGCCCAGTTGAAAACAACCAGAAAGGAATTTTGAAAAAAAAACGGAAAGCGCTGATGCAGATGACATAGATGCAGTCGCCTTTGTTTCGAGCATTTAATATCATCCACGCGCTGCGCCGTCGGCGTAGGCTCAGATATACATCGATATAAAAAAGAAACGCACTACGAAGTGGACATCGGGCCGCTGCGTTGCACATTACCGTTGACAGAAGGGGTCCTTCTCCCTCCCTTTCTCCGCTTCTTGTTCACGTTGAACTAGGGTACTATTTTTTGGTTGTTTTCCGCTTTTTTCTTTCTTTCTTTGACTGGCCTCTCTATCATTGCGGGTAGTCGTAGCGCGAAAGCGGATTGAGCCCACGTGTGTGTGTGTATGTATGTAAGTGTATGTATGAAAGATAATGTGTAGGAGTCTAGGTGTCGAAGACGGCCCTTCTGCCTCCTCGAGGTACACATATATTTTCTTTTTCTTTTAAAGCGAAGGAAAGAAAATAGATGTCAGCCTCCACGCCTCACAGGACTTCCTCGCCCAGCCGCACAAAGGACGTCCTTCTCTTTGGGGGGAGAGGGGAATCAGAACGTTGCTCAAATCTGTAAAGAGAAAAAAAGGGGGGGACGTGGAAGTCGACGTTCCCTTCTTCCTTTCCTTTCTTCGTGGTGCTTGTTCGCTGGCACGCTTACTCGAGTTCCTCGTTGATGGGCAGCAGTCCGTTATCGCGGACGAAGGACGTCTTCACGTGCAGCGTCGACCCCCGCGAGCGCTGCACTCCGTACAGGGCATTCAGCTCAATCGTCGAAGCCACTACACGTAGCTCCGTCCCGCTGGCGAGAAAGACGCCGTTGCCGCCGTTGCTGAAGATGTTCGACCGCTCCAGCACCCCGATGCTTCCCTCGTACACGACGACTCCGTCGGACCTGTTGTCCTCGAACGCGGTCTCGCTAACAAAAAAGGAACCCTGCAGCACACGCAGGCCCACCTCGCTCTTCTTGATCTTGGACTGCGTCACGTCCGCGGTGGCGCCGCCGTGTAGGTAGACGCCGGCGAAGCGGCAGAGGGAGATGAGGCAGAGGTCGAGTTGCAGTCGCGTGTGCCGCCCGGCCGCGACGACGCCGCCGCCGGTGCCGCCGTAGAAGTGACTCGCCGTAGCGGTCACCGTCGCACCGTCCGTCACAGACAGCAGCGGGACCGCCGGCCGGCCGTGCCTTTCTCCGCTTTGTTGTTGTCTTCCGTGGTCCACGCCCGTATTTGAAGGGTAATGATGGTGCGGAGGCCTCGTCTGCTGCACTTCCTCCTCCTCCTCGCTGCTGCTCATCATGTCACCCTGCACAAGTACGATCCCTGTCAGCTTCACCTGCGCCGCTGCGCCGGACACGGTCAGGACGGGCTCGAGATCGGAGAAGGGCCGCAGCACGACGGCGGCGCCAGGGAAGGCGCTCGTCAGTTCGACCGTGCCGCAATGCTCGAGGCGCAGATTCTCGTAGTACACGCCTGGCTGCAACACAACGCAGTCGCCCGACGTCAAGGTCGCGCAGGACAGGCCGTAGCGGTTCCCTTGGCTCGCAGAGGGGGCCCAGTGCAACACGCGCTTGGCCGGGCTGTGCGCCACTGCCGGCATCGTCGTCAACGGTCCGTAGAACTGCGGCGGCGGTGACCCGGGCGGCGGTGGTGGTGCAGAGAGTTCCTCCCTGAAGATGTCCGCGTGTCGTAGTGGGGCACCTTCCTTCGATGATGCCGCAGGGGGTGGGGTGTGGGACAGGCTCCGCCGGCGATGCGGTGTGTCTGTGGGGGAAAAGACGTCGTCGTCATCGCCGTCGTCCTCCTGTCGCCGTCGCCACTCCGGGCTGCTGCGAGGGCCGTCTGGAGAGGTCAGCGGCGAGACGGTGGTGGAGCGACGCGCCGGTGGGTGGTTGCTGCTGCTGCCGGCGTCGTCGGTCGAGAGGGGCGAGGCGCTGCGCACGCGGCGGATGCTGCGCACGGCGGACGGCGTTGATCGCCCACCGTGTTGTGTGGAAGGGGGAGAAGGAGAGAGGAAGGGAGGCGAGGGGGACGAGGGGGACGCGCCGTGCCGATCCTTCGCTGCAGTTGCGGTTGTTGATTCAACACGTCCCGAATGCGGCGATGAATTTGTCGGACGGCGGAGGGTCGCTTCGTAGGCTCGCTGTTGTGGCACAGCTTCGTCGACGTTGTCGTTATTGCCGTTGCTGGAACGACTGCTGCTCGTCATCGGCGAGTGGAGGGCCGCGGTGTGGGTGGGCAACGAGCTGGAAATCAGAGGTACATCTTTCCTGCGCACACTCGTGTCGTGCGTGTCCGCGTTGTTTGGTGTAGCGGCGTTTCCAGCGGTCGCCGCTGCTGCGTTGCTGTCAGTCGCCTCTCGTTGTTCGTGTTTCTGTCGCTGCTGCGCCTCCCAGTATCTTTGCTCCGCCTGCGCCAGCTCGACGTATCGGTGCGCGCACTCCGCAAAGAACTTGACATACACCGACGTGTGCAGCAGCACCGCTGACACGTTGTCAGGCGTCTTCCTCGCGAAGGAAGCGGGCGTGTCGATGTGTGTGTTATCTCGACGTCGCCACTGCAGCCGTGGGATACGTGCGCCGTCGTCGTCGTCTTCGTGCGCAGAGGACCGCGTGAGTTCCTCCACGCGCATCGCCAGCTTCCCCGCGTCTAACGACGTCATCTGCCGGATCAGTGTCCGCATTTCGTCCAGCCGTGCCGGACTCGTGAGCTCGTTAGGCGTCGCCGCGACGGCGGGGAGAAGAAAGGGCGATGCTGCAGAAGACGCCGGTCGTGGTGGGGGTGGCGGCGGTTGCGTGGCAGACGCGGTGAGCCTCGATACATCCGTATCGGAAGTGTCGGCGGCGTGGCGTCTGTGTTGTGGAGGGGACGGCGTGTCATGGGGCATGCGAGATGTAAAAGAAAACGAGCGTGTCAGCGGTGCAGCGGGCGCCACCGGCTTCAACGCCGGCACGCGATGCGTCGACGGAGCGCGTCCGACGATAGCGACGCCGGCCGACGACGCCGTGGACACCTCGTGCACGTCCTCCGCTGCGGATGACGCGTTCATAAAGAGAAGCGACGAATTGGTGATGGATGGCGCCTTTGCTGACCTGGCACCACCAGCATCAGCAGCACCGCTCTTCGTGTACCTTTCGCGGAGAGATGCGACGATGACGTGCTCGCGCCCCTTGAAGCGCTCCAGCAGCGCATCCACGTCCTTGAGGCGCTTGGGGTTGTAGCTGGTGTAGAGGCGAATCAACTCCTCCCGGACATCCATCTTTGCTGGAGTTTCGTTACGTTGCTTGCCTGCATGCATAAAAGAATGCATATATATATGTACGAGTTTGAGTAGTAGGGTATATGCATGTCCACAGCAAAGAGAAGGTCGATGAAAGGAAAGAAGAGGAAAACGAGAAAGAGGGATAGGAAGATTCATTCTCAGGCCACGTCGTTCCCTTCGCACGCTCCAGAAAGAAAACGAAATGTCTAAGAAGAAAAAAAGAACTTTCAGTGGCGCATTCTACACGGCAATTTTTGTGTACGTGTGTGCACTTCCTTTTTCTCTTCTTGTTTGGCGTTGTTTTCCTAGACGGTCCGCGAGAAGTCTCCCTCCTCTCTTCTTCGCTGCCATGGCGTCCTCCGCGTCTGCTTCATTTTTGATCCTGTCGCTTTCCACCGGTGGGGGCCCACGACCGGCACAGCAATAGAACGAGTTCGACAGGGAAGTCGATGATCCGAACAGCGACGAGAAACGTGGAGGGGAGGGAGAGCCACCGGTCATGTGGTGTGCACGCGGCCTTTAAATAATAATAATAATAGTTATAATCTCATCTAAATGGTGTAAAATGGAAGAAGAGGGGAAAAGCTGGAAGCCAACACGACCTGCTGCGATATCTTCCTCTTCCTCGGGATTCTATGACGTGGTGTCCGTGAGCGCGATGACCTCCTCACGGTGACCGCTGCGACGCCGCACCGCCACCTTCGCTCAACGGAACGTACAAGATATTCTTCGTCGCGTACTTGCTGCGCTTCGCCTCCAACTCCCGCAACTCGTTCTCAATCGCGCGGCGACGCTGCTGGATCGACTGTGTGTCGAAGCGGATCGGGATCTTTGCCAACTGCGCCTCCAGCTCCTGCTGCCGCTCATCAAGGCGGCGCAGCGTGTCTGCCTTCTCGTCCTCCGACACGCGACGGTGCCCCGGTGGAATCTGCGAGAGCTGCCGCTGCCGCGCCGCCTCCGCCTCGACGGCCTCCTTCTCCGCCGCCATCTCGGCCTTGCGCTGCTGCAAATATCGTGGGACACGTGCCCGATTCGGTGCGAGGACGCTGTCCGGCTTCGACGACGACGGCGGCGCCGCTGCTGCTCCTCCTCCTCCTCCCGCACCCGGTCCACGCGTCGCACCGCCGCTGACGACGTGTCGGCCACCGGGCACGGCAGCGGCGGCAGACGGCCCACCCGAGCCGCGCGGAACACGCGCCGCACCAGCGGAGCCGCTTTCTTTGTACGTGAAGGCCTGCGCGGCCGCGTCGTCGCACTCCCGCACGTACACCGTAATCTCGACATCCTCGCCGGGAGCCACGCCGGCGTTAAGGCTTGACCGGCCCGCACCCGCCCGACCACCAACTCCTCCTGCCGCTCCACGAGACGAGGAGGCGCCGGCGGAGACGGTTGGCGGGGTGTCCCCACTTCTTGCTGAGCCACCACGTCCGTACCCGTGCGAGGCGACGTGGCTGTACTGCGCTTGCGTGCGGCGGACCGCCTGCTCCTCGCCACGCGCCGCGGCGTCGTCCTGCACACGCCGCTGTCGGTTGAGGGCCTCCTGCTCACGGATCTGCATCCGGTTCAGCTGCGCGGCGTTCTGACGCATTGGCTCAATTACCGCCGTTCAAACAGTGGACCAGGGCAGCGGGAGGGGTGCAATGCGCTGATGCGTGAGATATTTGGAATAGAAGAAACAGCGTATAGTATTGATAACAACAAGGTAGAGAAGCAGCAGAAACACTCAAAGAAAAAGAGGAAAGCTCAACAACAATAAGAATAGGAAGAGCGTTCACTCAAAACACTCATAACAAAAAGGAAGTAGATGTGAGCAGCAGAGCCAGCGTTTTTTTTTTTTTCTACAGGTATAGGGCGGCGATCGGGCGTCTCAGAACACCAGCCAAAACAAACAAGCAAAGGACAACCGCACACGGGGCACGAATGGGTGGAGGCGTTCGATTCAGGCGGCCCCTGCACATCCGTTTGAAGGCGCTTCCATGAACGAAAAAGAGAGAAAGAGAGAGAGAGAAGGATTGAAAGGTGAAACGGAAAATTCAAAAAAAAAACAAGTTGAGCGAGAGACGTACCTTTTGTGTGTGTGTGAGTGCATTTTTCCTCTTGAAGCGCGGCGATGCCCATCGCTGACAGCCCCCTCCCCCTTACACCTCACCCCTCTCCCTAAAACTTTAAGATCAGGTTGAGAAGGGGAGCCATTTTGGGGAAGCAATCAGAAGAGCAGCACTAACGGAAGGAGCGGATGCGCCCGGCGCAACCGGTCAAGATCGACCACCTTTCCGTAGTACGTCCAGCTCATTCTGCGCTGCATCCGCTGCGCTTATTATCTCTCCTTCTCTTTTTGCATGTGTGTGTGTGTGTGAGTGAGTGAGTATGGAGGTGTGTGTGTGTGTGTGAAACATAGTATGAAACAGCGCATCTTCACATGCATTCCAAGCTCCATCGTTCGAATAACGTGCCTGTCGGCGCGTGCGAACACGCGTCCGTGCCCGCCTGCGTGGGGTATGCGCGGGTCGCGGATGTGGTGAGAATACAGAAATAAATACAAAAAAAAAGACCTTCGAGGGAAGGGAAACCTCAAGAGAGGAGAAGTCCTCTTTTTTTCGACATCTAATCATCCCCCGGTAAAGACGCAAGGCACCACAACATGCGCTTCGTCTTCTGTCACGCTGCCAGCAGTGCGCCGGTCAAAGGACTCAGAGAAATTAAAAGCTCCGTCTCGTTCCTTCTCGTCATCACCGACGCACTTCTGGCCCGTCAACACAAAACAGGAAGCTATCCCAAAATCAACTTCCTCCTCACATCCACCTCGCTCGCTCGCTCGCTCACTCTCTACCTCCTGCAACAGCGGCGGAGACACATTTCTTTGTTATTGCGAGTACTGCTGTTGCTCATCTCAGCTCCTCACGTATCTTCACTCTGAGCTGTGACACATCCGCCCCGATTACGTACCCCACGAGCTGACCTCCCTTCACCAGCATAAAGGTAGGTAGCTGCATCACCCGGCACTTGGACACGATTTCGGTGTTGTTATCGGCATCGACCTTGGCAAAGCGGACGTTGGTGAACTCGTACGACAACTTCTCCAAGTCCTTCTCAATCGTCTTGCATGGGCCACACCACACAGCGCTAAAGCACACCACCGTCAACGTCGGCTCATTCACGAGCTCGCGAAACTGCTCGACCCCGTACACGTCGGTGAAGGGCATCTTTTCTTCTCCTTCTCTTCTAATCTCCTTCCGTTCGCGCGCTGTTGCTTTGGGTATCCCTTTATATATATATAGGTTCCTTTCTCTCTTTTTGCTGCCGTGTCTATGGCTTTGTTTTTTTCGACAGACAAAGGAGGGATGAAAGCACCCAGCAGCACCTCACCGTCTTGTATGGTCGGCGCGGGCCCGGTTGTTTATGTCCTGTGCGTGTGTGCGTGCGTGTGCGGGTGTGTGTGAAACGGCAGACCACCACACGTCTCTTCGCCACCGCAGGGGTGAAAGGAAGAGAAGAAAACAAAGAGGAGAAAAAGCAAATAGAGACTGCGAAGGCAGACCCCGCGGAAACGGTAGAAGAGATTCATTTGACAATGGCCTTCACCGTCCTTTGCTTTAAGTGCGGAGGGGTGTGCTCGATCAGGTGAAGCCCAAAACAATCGTAATCTAAAAATATATGTGTAATAGAGAGAGCATCGTTTGATGTGTCTTTTCTGGTCTTGTTGTAGCGCCAGTACCCGCATGTTTCAAGCGCCATCAGGGAAAGCGCCTGTGCGATCACGGCCCCGCTGCGTGGCTCAAACGACGTTCCGTTGCACCCAAGTCCATCAGCCACCTCGTTCTTTGCGGAACCTTTTCAAGAGGCGCATACTGTGTGCCTTTTTTAGTTTGGTCTTCTCCCATTATTATCCAAAGTGTTTTACACCTCTGTGAACACCAAGCAACCACCAACGCAGACGAAAGAAACCAGAAAACGCCTCCCACACACGCCTCTTCCTTCTCTCTCCGTGAATCTTGCCACCCACACCGTGTGGTGGTGCTTCAGCCGGGAATAAGCGGATCGTCCGCATCGCACGGCCAGCCCAGCCGCTTGAACGTCTTCTCCATGTGCGGCGGCAGCGGCGCCGTGACACATACGAACTCGCCGGCCCCGTTCTTGTACGGCAGCTGAATCTTGCGGTGGTGCAGGTGCAGAGGCACGTCCTTGCGGGCCGGGTCCCAGAAGAGGGACAAGGACTGTGGGAAGGCGCTCTCGCCGCCGTACTTCGCGTCGCCCAGCAGCGGAGCGCGCAGGGCGTGGGCGGCCATGATGCGCTCCTGATGCCGCCGCGTCGTCAAGGGGTAGAAGGAGATGAAGCTGCCGTACTCCAGCGCCGACGCGTTCACCACGAACTCGGCAATCGCAACTTTTGACGTCGGGGTGGGGTTGGGGCGGGCGATGATGATGTCGCCACCGCTGCCTTTTTGTACCTCGAAGTGCATGCGGATGCGGCCGAAGTTGACGGGGGGCTTACCAACGGCGAAGCCCCAGTACACGCTGTTCGGCACCACGCGCTTCACAAACATGCGACCGAGCATGCGGTGTGCGTTGTGTGATCGCGCCAGCACGACGCACCCGCTCGTCTCTGCGTCCAAGTTGTGGCAGATGATCGGGGCGTGCGCGTTGGTGTACCGCCACGCCGGCAGCAGATCGGCGATGTTCATGGCAAGGGGATCGTGTGTGGGCATGATCGGCACCCCGCTCGGCTTGTTGATGACGACGACGTGTTCGTTCTTGAAAAGCACCATCTCCTGCGCCATCTCGCGCGCCTTGGCGGAGAGGTGAAAGGTGCGCCGTGGCTGCGCACCGGACGCGGACGACGATGACGATGATGCTGCGCCGTCCGGCTGCTCGACCCCGCTTGGCGGCGCAAGTTGATGGGCCCAAAAGCCGGACGTGGGCACGACAACGAGTTCGTCAAACTCTAGACGATCCGTCAACCGCGTGTAGCGCTTCTTTCCATTTTTCCGGTAGCGGTAGATGTGACCCTGCTGCACTAGGCGCTTCACCGTCTCGTACTCCCACTCCGGGTGATGCTGCGCGATGAAGTCGTCCACACGCTGCCCGAACCAGTCTTGTGTCACGACGTGGTACTGCAGCTTATCCGATTTGTGCGCCAGCTCTTCACGGGCCCGCAACGACAGTGGCACGTGCTGCCGGCGGCGCTTCTCCACTGGAGTTGCCTTCTGCAGCACCGGCTCAAGGTCGGAAACCTGTTTTAGAAAAGGTGGCTGCCACGCCAAAAGAAAGGCAATGCGGCGCATCCTTTTCAATTACGGTCGCTCAACGTACTTGTACGCAGCAGCCCGTTAAGCGAGGAGTACGCCAAAAAAAAAAAGGAAGAAGGCCACTTGCGTACCGTGCGCACACACGTACACCTTTCTGAGGGGAAGCAAACCTTGATTGAAGACCTGCGATTCAGCGTCGAGAATCTCTCCTGTGGATATATGCTGGTAATTGTGTGTGTGCGTGTGCGTTGCGCACAAAAGGGGAGAGCTGGTTTAGTTGAGTGACGACGATAAAAAGGAGACGGAAAAGAGATGGGGATGTGTAGCAAAAGGACTTCGATTGAGAGAGGGAGAAAAGGTGCACTGACGATGCTGCTGGAAAACATCAAGCTGCGAACCACGGAGGGAAAACATTTTAAACGTGCAAACAGCGCTTCATAAATACGTGCGACGAGAAACTTCTCCGTTCTTGCAGGGAATCATGGTGCCTCATTCACACACGACTCCCAATGGAAGAGATCCTCATCTTCGCAAAAGGTAGAGTTGTTGTTTATTTCATTTCTGTGATAGCTCCCAGGCTTCATGGGTAGCGTACTTGTCACCGCAAAACAAGGTGAAAAGAAAAGGGCTAAACAACCGCCTCCAAAAAAAAGGGTACTTTTTGATCAACAATGCGTGATTCGCAGCAATTGAAGTCCAACTCTCAAAAATGGAAATCGACAGTTTCCAAAGAAAAGGAAAAAAAACGGGTTTCTTTTCTTGTCAGAATCAATTTTACCCACTGAGAAAACGCTACGGAGAATACAAAAACAGAAAATGACGCCTGCAGAACAAAAAAGGAGAAAGTGGTTAGAGAACACCGCGCTATCACTTTTTGCTGTCGTCAGTGGCGTTTTCTTGAGCAGTTCCGAGCGGCGCCTCTCCAAGGTCCTCCATCATATGGGCATACTTCGGTGCATAATCATACTTCCATGACCTAATGGCATCAGGAGCCTTTACTTTAAACGCCTCCATCTTACCCGCCATACGCTTCTCATGGTATTTGAGAAGCTCGCCACGCAGGTACATGATACGATAACGCTGGTAGTTCTCCTCGCGATTCACTTCCTTTGCGCAGTCATTCATGGCATCGCGATGAGGGTAGCACCTTTTCATGTTGTAGGGCTTTTGACTATTTACACATTGTTCATACTTCTGGATAAATGGGAAGCACTTACGCGTTGTCTCTTCCTTCATGCGAGCAAGAATGCCGTCGTGAATACGGTGCTGCAAATTTCGTTGGACTTCCGGCTGGGTGCGGGCCATCATCTCCTCCAATTCAGCGTTCAGAATCTTGTCTGTTTCATCGTAACCAATTTGATCAGACTTGTCGTAGGAAGACATTTTTTAGCGCTGTGTGTTGCTGTTGTTGTTTTGGGGGTTTCAGAAAAAGTAACAAATATGGCGGTGGCTGGTTTTCCCTTTCTTAACACGCAATACTCTTAAAGAAGGACGTGTCTTGTTTCCCTAAATAGAGCAAAAGCCCAAACCACATTTACAACATGTACTACTATTTAGAACAAACACAAAGCGGAAAGAGAGAAAGAGAGAGAGGCTTGTCAAAGGACGCGATAGAGACGCTCGTGAATGCAAAAGAAAAACCTGCTTAACCGCGGAAAGCAGATTTGACAAGCACTTTTATTTGACTGCTTCCGACTACTACGCTTTCTCTTGTGAACGTCAATAGCTTGCAAACACAATGAAATATGTGGGAAGACACACATATTATTAAGCAAGTAAAGGAAAAGCAATGACGCACTTGTCTCTGGGGGAAAAAAAGACCCGGAAAAGTGTCAAGAACGTCAGTTTTAAAAGGGAGTCGAGGCACAGACACACAAAAAGAGGCTTGTGAGCTGTTTCCTTCATTGCAGTAAATCAATAACTGTTTGGCTTCTATTCTCTCGTTGCTTATAATGTCCATCAAGAGTACACAAAAGCAAACGCTTACCTTTGAAACGTTTGCCACACGCATGCACACATTTGCAGGCATAGGCATAGGCATAGGCACACGCACATCAGAAAAACTCCTCAAATGACTGATCCACAAATAATTAGTGGCAACATTACTCAATGAGTTGATCTTCCTCGAGTTGTGTAGCCCAACAAAAACAAGCTCTGCCTCAATGAGTGCACTCAGCTGTCAATTATTTGCCACACATGATTACGGATAGAAAAGAAGATAACGACTTCCTCTACCAAATCAATGCCAGTTTTCACAGTTGACCAGCAATGGTCTTAAGCCTTGGATCGAACGAACAGCAAAAGAAATAATAACATAAAAAAATAAGGGAAACGCACTACGTGTGAGTGGAATTTGTTACGGAATTACAAACAGAGCGAGTCGTCAGTCACGAGCCGCCACCGTTCTTCCGAGCTTCCGCAGCAGCTTGCTTCTGGCGCATTTTCTCTGCGTCAGCCTCTTTGCGCGCAGCAGCCGAAAGGCCATCGTCGCGGTGCACTTTATTCTTTTCCTGCAGTTTCTTCATGTTTTTCTCGCGCGCGAGATCACGCTGGTTACCGCGAGTCATCTTCTTTGTTTGTTTACGTTCCTTTCTTGTGTGTTCAGTTGGGTGTATAGTAGCGGTGAGGTTAGTAGCTGCTAGATAGCGAACAAAGAAAGAGAAACGGAGAAAAAATGAATCAATACGCAATTGTACAAGTAAGAGTGGGAAAAAGCAGTTTTAGGAATAAGAAAGAGAAATGATGAGGAGTTGATAATCGCGCATCCAGCCATTTCCTTAACCACGTACAACTATCTCAATTGCGTCACCAAAGACAATAAACCGTCCGACGACACATAAATATAAAAAAGGAGATGCAGGTGGTACACATATACTTGCTGTCAAAATAGCAGTTGCTCTTCCTTCTCAGGACAAGTACCCTTTGTAGTTCAAAGAAATAGCCAGGAAGAAACGGCTTTGTGTCCTCTTCTCTTTTGCGATGCACTTGCATTTCTGCCTTTTCCACAGTGTTACCATACTCAGCATGCCGCTTTTTGTACAAGATTCCAAAGCATACCTGGAATTTTGCACCGTCTTTTCTTTCGTATATATATCGAACAAAGCTGGGTAAGAATTAAAATGCTCCGGAATAAACACCGGGCGATTGCAAAAGGCTGTTTCGTTGTAAATAATAATAATAATAAAGATCTCTCACCAAACCATGAAAAATAACTATTATGACAATACTGCAAGCTGGAATTGGAACCCCGAAAAGGAAAAAGAAATGTGAGATGTTTGGTCTTATTTTCATTTGATACTGCCTTCAAATAGTTGATTTGAGATTCTCCACTTTTCCTACGCCGAATCTACTCAGAGCAAGCTACGAGATCCGCCTTCAGCAAGAAATTTCCGCAGAGCAGGAACCAGTTTTTTGCGAGACACTGCCGGATCGCTCAATGAATAAGACGCATATGAGTAGGACTTGTCTTCCGTCGCGGATTCAGATATGAGCGAGAAAACGATACCATCAGAGGAATCTTCAATAAACGGTGCAAACACCTCCATAATTTCCGGTTTTGCGCAAAATGCAACTTCCCGAGAGTGCTTTCCATCCACGTGTCCTGCAAACGCAAAAATAAGCACATCCAGTTGGCGCTCTCGAATAAATTTCACTGCCTCTGCAACTATTTGAGGCACCGTGTATTTCTCTTGAAATTCCGGGCATGAGCATGGCACACTGCTGGTTCCCGTAACCATCACGCCTTTCTTTCCTAACCAGGGGAAGTCGAACTTCTTGTAATCACGTCGCATGTTTTCGGCAACAGTGAGAACCAGAACATCGTTCTTCCATTGAGCAAGCTTGTTGTATATAGCAGCTGTGTCGTAGTCTTCATCGTCGATTCGCCTGCAGAGCCACTGGTGCATCGCAATGTCTTCAGGGGTGACCTTCTTTTGCGCAGGATCAAAGTTCACGGTGTCCAGAATAATCGGGGCGTCTAGCAGCTCAGGACACGGAACGTCTCTTTCGCAGACGTTGAAGCATTCTGTAACAAGGGTGCAGCATGACCCAACAGCCTTAATAAGTCGCCGGCGAGGTGCGAAATCCGTATGCTTCTTCTCGTCCATGTGATGATCCAAAATGCCAATTACTTTGTGGTCAAATGCTTCTTGACGGCTCGTCAGCTTGTTGTGATCGTAGAGGTAAATCTTTGCATCCAATGCAGCAAGGTCGATATAGCGGTCTGGCGACTGGCCCTTCTGAACAGACATGATCAGAGAGGTGTCTATACCAACTTCCTCAAAAAGTTTTACGACGTCGTTGCGAAGTACCAAGTCTTCTGGTGGAAAGTTGATCGCGGGGACAGGGTTTTCAACATTCCATCTATTCGACTTCTCCAACAGCAGCGCAAAGTAAATCGAACCCACAATGCTGTCCATATCCCCACCTTCATTGCCCTGCACGACAGTAAGAGGGCGCACTTTGCTGGCCACCTTCGACATGCATTCGCGCAAAAATTCGTTAATAACGCTCGCCATTGTAGGTGTACTTTTCATTCAACAACAAACACGACAACAAATATGTATACGCTGAAGGGCTGAGAACACACACAGAAAAAAATGACTTCTCTGGTAATTCAGAAACTCTGCACAGGTAAGAGAAGAAAATGTTGGAAGCGAAAAAGAAATGCAGCAAGAACGAAAATAGATATTAGTCGTCTTGTGCTTCTTTCTCACTATAGCATCATTTGAGGCTCGTAGAAAAAGAACACGAAAAATCGAGCAAATTAGGAAAATAAAGACGCTTTCTTTTAGAAACCGATTTCATCATAATAGAACAACGAGCAACAGCGCGCAGATGCAACCAAAATTGCATTATTATTAGTTTTTTTTCCCGCAGAATTAACTGAAAGAGTTTATTATAATTATTGTTGGTATTCGTTTGTAAATAGAGTCCGTTTTAATTGGTGAATATTATTGTTGACGAGGTCGTTTATTCAGTAGCCTTTGCTACAGGTAGTTTTCGCAGAATCCATTGTGCCGAGCGACGGATGAAAGGGTAGGTTGCGATGCAAACGGGAACCTGGAGAGGTGTCCATAAGGACATAAAAACTGAGGCGGCAGTAAAATTCGCTACCAACCGAGCGCTAACAGCTACGCGACCATCGAAGAATGACCAGCTCTTACCTTCGACAGCCTTTAGATTGATGTACCTCGAAGCACCCACCGATTCGAGAAAGTCTATCAGATCCTCCTTGCCAAAATAGCCGTAATGCAGCAAGTAGGTGAGGCCACACACCAGCAGCTCATTTGTGATGAAATAATACAAGGCTAATGGAGCGCCGTATTCCATGACGAGCTTCTTCATGGAAACATTTCGCGTGTACGCTGCCGCCGGTCGAGGAGTGTTAAAACGACGAATGAGCATGGCTTTTCCTTCATCAAGTTGTCGTATCTTTTGGGGGCTGCGGTGTGAAGCTTGAACGTTAGAGTTGAAGAGGCAAGTACCAAAAGAACAAAGGTTCGAAAGATAGGGGAACGAGTTGAGTGTTGGAGAGTGCGCTTCCGTTCACAAATATTGGGGAGCCTTTGACGCGGCTAACAAGGTGCCACACACCTTGCAGAACTTGAGTGAAACCTTAAAGACTCATGCAGCAACTCTACAAGAGCACAGTGAGGTAATTATAAAGGTGAAGGTGAGGGAGGGGGGAAAACCAATGGAGGGATCAAAAGCAGCGCTTGCCACACCCCAGGTCTCGCGATCGCCCCCACCACTTTTTCGCACACGTGGCGTCGTGTGTTTTGTGGCCGATACCGCATGTGGCGTCGTGCGCACAGTCTAAATCGCCAAATAGACAACGAGGTGTTGCTGCTCATAATCGTTGGGCTATCGTGCTCTTCGTCTGCCCAGCCAGAAGAGCCCAACTGAACAAATTTGTAACTGTTTCTATTCCGGTTGTGGTGCGCCCGTTTCGTCCTCCTTGTTATACAAAACACAACCATAAAACACATAAAATGTTTAGAAGAGGGCATAAAACTCGTTTGTCACAAGCCAGCGTGTTGATTCGTTGTTGAGGTTCACCTGCTGAAAGAGAATTGAATTTGTTGCATCTCCTCATATGATTGCGGAGCTCAAAACGATTGCAAACCTTAGATTATTATTTGCTTTTTTTTTCTGGTTCTCTCTCGCACGAAAATGAAACCAGAATCCAAATTTTCGTGGCCGAAGCTGCTCGTTGCGACGGTGCGTTTTTGCCCACTTTTCTCCTGTTTCTCTCCGCGTGTTCCTTCTGTTATGTTCCCTTCTTATCGTTGCCTTTTTCTCCTGGCTCTTGTGCCCAAATAACACTACGGCAGTAAGTTGAGCAAAAGTGTTCCGTGACCTTTACCGGCCTGTACTCGGCTTCGTCCAAAACTCCACTTCGAAGGTGCCTTTTTCTTTTCTCAGCGACAATGTCGACGGTTGGAGGATTTGGAGCAGCGCACACGCTATCTGCAACGACGTCAGATTGTGTGAGCTGCGTGAAGTTCTCACCAAAAGAATGTCCGATGCTCTTAGTTGGCGTCGCAGCGTGGGACGGCAGCTGTTCGGTATGGCAGGTGGGAAGAGATGCATCGGGTGGAGTCATCTCGCAGCCCACATGGACTTCGTCACATGATGGCCCGCTGCTTGGTATATCCTTCTCTCCAGACGGGCGCGTGTTTTACGGCGGATGCACGAAAACAGCCGTGATGTGGGATTTGAATTCCGATCAAAAAAGCGTGGTGGCGTCACACGATCTCCCCATCAGCTGTCTTGATTACGTAACTCTTCCGCAAACAATGAGCTCGGTGCTCATTACCGGTAGCTGGGACGGAAAGCTGCGATGGTGGGATTTGCGGCAGCAGAATTTTGTGATGGAGCAGAATTTAGGTGAGCCCATTTTCACCTTAGATGCACAAAAGACGGTGCCGATGATGGCTGCTGCAACGGGGCGACTTGTACACATTTACGATTTGCAATCATCGCAAAAAGTTAGCGAGTTGAAGGTCCCGGATGTAATGAAATTCAATATTCGATGCGTCACTTGCGCCCCTCAGTACGACGGTGTCGGTGTCGGCTCGTCGGAAGGTCGCGTGTCTTTTGTCAACATGAAGGAGCAACCGGGATGCACGTTTAAGGCACACATCGGAACGGAGAAAAACCATTACATTTTGAACCAGGCGAACTTCTGTGTGCACCACCCTTCAAAGCCCGTTCTCTTTTCCGGAGGAGGAGACGGCAACATTACAGTCATCAATCGAGGTGAACGAAAAATAATCAAGACACTACAATGTGAGCAGAAGATGAATGACCTCCCAATTCCCATATCCGCTGGCGACATCAGCGGAGACGGGTCCTTGCTTGCTTATGCTCATAGCTATGACTGGGCAATGGGCAAGAGCGGATATCGCAACCAGTCTACATCGGTTCACATTCGCACTGTTGGATTTTGATGTTTCAATCAGCATCGACAGATGTACGAACTATCGCACATGCACTAGACTTTTTTTGGTGGGTTTATTCTTTTTTAATTCTTTGATGTTGGAAGACGCGTGTGTGAGACGGGGCTGGCTGTGAATGGCGATTGAGTCAGCTTGACAAATTATTTGTCGAGGTCGAAAAGAGCATTTTTCTTTTCGTTTGACAAGCGATACTACGATGAGGTTTTTCACTTAACAACAAAAAAAGAAAATGAACATAAAAAAGTTTACGGACATTTCGTTGGTAGGTGCTGACTGTCTCTTCTTATTTTGCTGTCTACGGTATTCACTAGAAATGCATGGTAATCTCTTTAAATACCAAAATAGTTTTTATGTTTTTTTTTTAAGGTAGTGAACTCTTCTTTTTTTATGTAGCATTGTTAATATGTCTCTTCTTTCTTTTTCATGCTATCTGCTGGCGCAACAAAAAACAAAACTCCTACCACATCAACTCTGTCACAATACTATATTCACAGTTACTAAAAAAAAAAAACATTCTCGCATACTTTCACTGTTTTTCTTCCCCGATGTCTCCACCTCAGTATTCATTTGGCTACGAGCTGAAATCAAAACAAGTGCGCGCTTACCAGGTACATGACCTTGGAAGCGTGAGAAAAGCTATCATCGCGAACCTTCAAGAGTATCTCGATTACGAAGGTGTTGCCGAAGAAGAACCTACGTCACTTAAGAACATCTTTCTCAAGGTCGTGACAATTTGTGGCGCAGCCGGTATTTATGTCATGAGCAAGTCGAACGTTTCGGGTGCTTGGCTACTGGGAAGTATTGCCGCTTTCGCTGCCTTAGTTGTGTTTCAATACGCCTGTAGTGTCATGGAGCACAGTGAAGACGTTGTTTTTGTAGGCACCGGCAAAGCACTTTCTCACTCATCACGGGCGCAAAAGCCGTGTTTTGTGAAGCTGAAAAATCAGCGTCTCTGCATTCGCATCCGGCAGGACAACGTTGAAATACCCGTTATTCAGTTTGAGACACAGATCATTGGGAACTCCAAGCTCTTTTCGCCGCCGACCGTTTACAGTCGAAACGAGCAGACTGTCCAGTACGGACAGTTTTTTGGCTCTACGGGCTTTTTCTTCCCTCCTCCGTTCATCAAACTCGTTGATAGCATGCTGGATGCTGTCACGTCGAAGAAACAGAAGTAGAGACTGAGTAATGTTTGTCAGTGCTGCTGTTATTGAACGTTCTTTTTTTTTTTTGTCTGCGTAGTTCTCTCATCCTCCCTGATCAATTCACACGAGAGAAACGCACTATACGTAGCTCTGGCTTCTCAAAGTTGCTCACTTCAGAGAAGGATTTTAAAAGATATAAAATGACAAGAATTTTGTGGAGGAATAGCGACTGCACTATCGTATGACAATGCAATTGAACTCTTTCGTCTCCTCCGACACCACTTTTAAAGAACGGTAAAAGCAGTGTCTTCGTGTCATTGCCTTGATTCTCAGCGCCATTATTGTGATATAAAAGCGTATTCCCTCATTTCTTCTTTTTCTCCTAAATATGCTTTTCTTACTGCTCAGCTGTTTTTTTTCTCTGACATCTTTCCTTCCTTTTTCTAATCCTGAACAGACGGTTCATATCGGTTTATCAAACCAGGTTTTCCGTCTCTTGTTTAGTTCCTTCGGCTATTTCCTTTCCGCGTGCCTGATCATAGCTCTCCTCTCTACATTGAAGAACAACAGCAACAACAAAAATGGTGTCGCAGAATGTCGTGCGCATGGTCGGTTACGCCGGTGCCGCAGCGAACTGGCTGATCCCGATCGCCGGCATCATGAACTTCCCCACCCGCCCGCTTTCTGATATTGATCCTGTGATGACTTCTGTTCTCTGCGTGTATAGCATGCTGTTCATGCGGTGGTCAGTCTCCATTCTGCCTGCCAACTATCCTCTCTTTCTGTGCCACGCCACGAACAGCACTGTCCAGGCGGTCACTCTGGGCCGCTGGACTCTTGGGAAACTGACTGGAGGGAGCAACCCCACCGAAAAGAAAGCGATTGAGTAGAGGATTGTATGGTTACGGTTTCGTGTGTGGTTGTGCTAGTGCTGTCCTCCATGCAACTCACTCTCACTGAGAGAATCGCATATTTCTGCTGCTACATATGCATTTTGGGGGCGTTGTGGGTAGTTGGAAGGACTAGGCTGCTTCTCTCCGCGGAGAAAAGCACGCCGTTTTATGACTGATGGTGCAACTGTCGTAACTCGTTCAATGCCTTGAGTTGTTATTTTTTCCGCCCCCCAAAGAAGATTAATAAGAAAAACGTCAAAAGTCAGTGTCGGATTCTAAAGCTACCTATTAGTTCATTGTGGGTTTATATATATGAATACTAACTCTTGTTAATCAACTGATTCCCTCGTCGCCACTAAGTTGGTTAACGCATCTCGCCACTCAACTCCACTGACATTTAAGACGACTTACGAAAGGTAGAGCATATTGTGATGGCATTCAGAACAGGAGGGAAACGAAGGTTTGCTTAAAACGAGTACGTAGTGCGTGGAGTGGCTGAAGAAACAGGGAAAAGACCGTAATCGGACTCGTGTACGTCTGCGGGCGTTTCGAAACAAATGGAAATCTACGATTCGAAGAGCCGCCTTTGTTTTTCTTTTCCAACTTGACACAATCCACGCGATTCGCTGCTTTCCCATTCAGTAAGCTTGGTTTTCGTTGCTACCAACGGAGGCAGTTCGACCTGAAAATTTTTCCTTTCCATTATTTTCTAAATCTGTTTTCTCCAACTCTTCTTTCGCTTCATAAGCTGCAAACTGAAACTGCGTCAGGCACATCTTCCGCTTCTTGACTTCAGGACAACCACATCAACGCCCACCGTGCAGTCGGCAAGCATTGAAGGTTGCAGTTTCAACCAAGACACTGGGACAACCCCGAGCAAAAAGAAAAAAATGGAGACGGCGGCAGCGCAAATGCAGCGAGCAAAACGCCGCTACACAGCGTTTCTGCGCGAACGCGCCAATCTGGCTTTGTCTGGAAAATCAGACCCGCTCACGGAAGACGAGATAGGAAAGCTGGAGAAAGAGTATCCAGAACTTGTACGCGTAGTGTCAGAAGGCGGGGAAAGCGCAATCAACTGCAAATCCTCACCGCCTCTTCCTGCTAAAGATAGCTGTGGCGAAGCGAGAGCCATCACTCACAACGCGGCACCGAATTCGATACCTTCGTTCTCGGCCCCTGCGGTGCAGTTATCGTCAAAGGCACGCTTGCGAAAGTCGGCGCCACCGTTGCTGCTGATGCAAACACGGCCTTTACCCAACTCCCTTCCTCGATCGCTGAGCGCAGACGCGCTGCAGCGGCACTCCCGAAGTGTGCACGCGAGCCCGGCAAACGAGAACAACTATTCCATGATGATGTTTGCGCTGCAGCTCTTCAACGAGCGGCATCAGAAGTCGATGATGACTCGTCTCAGCGTTGTGGCCACCGCTCTTCTCTCCGTTGCTGCCGCTCTTGCGCACTGCACTGTTGTAGATCCGGCGTCTACCCCGGGCTCCCTTCTCAGTCCCTCCTTGCTCACCCTCTTGGTTCACGCGAACGTGCTTTGCGGGGTGTACGTGCGAGGCCGGCGTCGCTTTACAGCGCCAATGCTCATTGTCTACGCCGTCTTGGACATTATCCCTTCGCTTGGCTTGGGTATCGTCTTCTACAATCTAGGCTTAATTGCGCTGGAGTCCTATGGCTTTCGTAGAGCCTCCTCTGCGTGCTAACAGCAAGACACCAGACGAGAAGAGATTGCAAGGGTGTGTCAATCGCTTTTTTTTTTTTCTCTTCTTCGCCTTTCTCTCTCTCTCGCGCTAATTCGTTTTATCATTGTTGTTGTGTTCCTTCACAATTTTTGCTTTTGGCTTCCTCTGCTGCTCACTTTCCGCCTTTCTGTTTATTGCGTCTTTTTTCATCGTATCTTTTCCGGTTGCTCCTTCTGCTTTCTTTTTTCCCCGATCGACTCGCCTTTTTTCTTCGCCCTTATTCACAACCTCAACGGATCTAAAGAAAGAAAGAAACTCAAGCACTTCCACGAAGCAAACAAACGAAGCGAAATGCACATGAAGGAAAGGGGGTGGGGGTGATGTTGAATGCAAGTACTCGTCTGTGGTGTCTGCGCTCTATTTGCCCCCCACGTTTTCCTTTTTCTTTCTGGGAGGTGGCAGCAAGTTCAGGTTTACGCATGACACCCCCCATACGCGCTCTATTTACAGAACTGGATAGCCAGAAAGAAATGGGAAACGAAAAGAAGATGTGAACTTCGCAAAAAGCAAGAGACATGGAATGCCACGCATCTGCTTTTCTTCCTCTTCTTCTTTTTGCTGTTGACGTTTTCTTGTCTGTCCAGATTCCTCGCACCGTCTTGACAAGCACTCGATTTGTCGTGATCAGCATCAACGCATTCGTGCGTTCTTTCCCTTTGCATACTAGTACAATTTCATGAGCATACAGACGAGAGGTTCTGTTCGGCCTGCACATACATTTTAGAATAGAAACGTTATCTTCTTTTAGCTTCTTTTAGACCACTGTCGTTATTGCGGTGTTCTTCTACATTTTTTGCTCTTCGCTTTTTCCGTTGTTACCGCGCTTTCACAGGGTGCCGTCTTGACAAGTGAGGAGCAACAGGAGCGGACTCGTCTGCTTGTGAGCCCTCCTCCCCCCCCCCCAAAAAAAAAAAGACAAGTCAAACGAAAAAATAGAAAAAAGACAGTACAGAAGGCGTGCCGTATTCCTCGCTCCTTTTGGAAAAGAAAGCCAAGAAAAAGCAGAGCCACGCGTGCTTGTTATTCCGTACCTCCCTGTTTCGTAGACGTCGTCATGTCCGTGCTCGAAGCTCTTTTGAACTCACCGACGGACGACATCGGCGAGTGCCCTCCTATTCAAGGCCCTAGTGACGTGCAGCTTGTCTCGCTGAACCTCGAGGTCATCCTCAACAAGTGCCTCTACTGCACCCGTCTTACGCTGCCCCTGCCACTGGAGGTGCTGCTTTCCATTGTTGGGGACGCGGGGGAGGTGCAACCTGACAAGGTCTGCGCAGGTCTTCTTCACATGGCAGAAGAAGGCACCTGCCTGGACCTCTTTTGCGAGTTGACCTCTCACCTGCTTTCGCGCAAAGCCGCGGCTCTGCGTCTCCAGTTTGATGTGGAGTGCTTTTTCAAGGTGTTGCAGCTCTTCTGCTGCTCCGCAGCGCTGAAGGATCGCCTCGGTGGCGGTCTGGGCAAGACGCTGTTGGGCTACATGAAAGACTTCGAGATGCACGGGGATGACTACCGGGTGCACCGCAGCTGCTGCAGCGCGCTGATCTCTCTCCTGCGGGGGTCGCCGGCGAATAAGAGTCGATTCGGTCCCGAGTGCGCCGTCATCGCGGTCTGCCTCGAAAACGCCTCCGACTTCTTCTTCCAGATGCAGTGCGTGGAGGTGCTGTACAGGCTGTACAAGCACAGAGCCAGCTTCCTGACCGACGTGCAGGCGTCCTCGTCAGCCGCCGGTCTTAGCCCCTACCTGCTGCGCGGCATCGAGGAGCTGCCAAACGACAGTACGCTGCTGCTGAGCATCCACCAGCTGCTGGACAACTACAACCGCGACGAGCACCCCGACCGCGTCGTCGCCTTTCCGGTGCTGCACATGGAGGTGGATGGTGTCGCGGTCTCGCGGGCCACCACCATCTACTTCTCGCCGTTGCTGCTAGTGGTGCTGCTGACCGGTAGCAGCGCCACCGGCGGCTACCTCACCATCCCGTATGAGCACGTGCGCTCCGTGAAGCTGTCCAAGGACCACAAGCTCGAGCTACGCCTCTATGTTGTTCCAGCGAAACTGGCCCTCGTCATGAGTGTGGAGGGCGAAGGTCGCGATAAGCTGCTCGTCTCCATGACGCGCGCCACGATGCACGAGCTGCGCACCTCAGTCGTGCATCAGTGGGTGGGGGAGCGGAAGCGCAACGCACCGCGCCGCGTCGTGCAGCGCGTCCGACCACCGGCGTTGGTAGCACCTCATAGCTCCCCCTCGAACTCAGGGCTAGCACAGGGGACACGGGATCCGTCGTCGTCAAACGCCGGTAGTCGCCCTCGCGCGAGCTCTCGTCGCGCCACAGAGGAGGAGCCCCGAGGAAGAGGAGGTCGGAGTCAAGAAGAAGGCGCCGCAGACGATGCGCAGGGCGGAGAAAACGGTGGCGAAGAGAACTTCTTGTCGGAGGTGCACCGCGCGGCCTCCGTCAAGGCGGCGCGCTACCGCGAGGAGCAACAGGCGCACGTGCAGCGTGCCGTGGACGCCGTGAAGGGCGAGTTAGACGACCTGCGGCGCGGGAATGCGCGGGAGCGGGATCAATATGAGGCCAGTTTTCGCGAAGACATGGAGGTGGTGCGGCGGTCCGAGGCTGTCTTGAAGGAGAGCGCCGCGGAGTGCGTGCAGGCGTTAAACGGGGAGTTGGACGATGTGCAGGCACTGGGGGCGTTGCTGAAGGCGGAGGTGGACCGGCTGCGCGAGAAGCTGGCGAAGTCGCTCGGTAAGTCGGAAGGCGTAGAGGAAGCCTTCTTGGTGCGCATTAAACAAAGCGTGGACACCCGCATGCGAGAGATGGAAGAGACGCTGTTCACGGTGGCGTCATCTGCTGCTGGCGCTGGTGCTGCCGCGTCTCCCTCCCCGTCCACGTCCGTGGCGGGGTCGTCGCTGGAGGCAGTGACACAGTACATCACGCAGCAGATGCAGACGATCAGCAATGCCAAACTGGCGCCTGGTGAGCTTCAGCGAGAGGTGGGCCAGCCACACGCAGTAAAGTCGCGCCGCTTGGACTAGTCTCACCTCGCAATGAAATGAGAATTCTTCTCACCTACAGCCTAGGGTTTTTGCATGTGTGGGTGTGGGTGTGGGAGTTGTCCGTCATCCCACCCCGCCGGCGTGTCTCCTCCCTCTCCTCTGCTCGTTCAACTGTTTTTCTTTTTATTTTTCTGTCTTTTCTCCGTCGCGTATGGCCTCTTTGTTTTCTCTGTGTATATCTCCGAGCGCGTCATCCGCTTGCTTGCTCGTTTGATTCCTTTTGAGTCGCTTTTCCCCGTCGGGGGGCGACGACGGCGACAACGCCCTGTCGCCTAAGCCCCCCTTCAATTCGCGTTAGGAGGGTTCGATCATAGAGCGAGAGAGAGAGGGTGTCAAAGCAGCGTATGCCTCTGTTATTATTAGTCTGTGTGCGTATGTGCTGAGAGAACGGTGCGTGTTTGTACGCGTTGATGTTCACTTCCTGCTGAGACACCTGCAAGGAAAAGCACACGAGGAAACACGGCAATGAAGACGTCAACTCTCCTTTCCTCTTCTCAGATTCAAAAGATAATAATAATAATAATAATGATGATGACGTGCGTGTGCTGCAGTTCCCATCGCCTTGGTTCGCGCCTTCGCAGGGTGGGGCGGGTAAATCGAAGTGATGAAACGGGCAGGAAAGCAGTAGCACGTGCCGGTGCGTGATGTGCGTCTGCGTCTTTTGTATGTTTGCACTCGTGCTGATTTTGAAAGGGTTAATACAATGCAAGACAAAGCAGAGCTGCGTTGTCGGCATTGGCACACGACGGCCAGCACTCGCATCGGCCTTTCCATGTCTCCTCCCTTCTTCTTTCATACCCCCTCATTTCTCTTGTTCTGCCTCTTTCGTGTCGTGCGCCTGCGAATGTATATATATATATATATGTGTGAAAAGTGCCAGAATCGCCGTCCAGCTAGAAAGAAGAACACCTCAGCCGCTACAACACTGTTATTATTAGTAGTATTATTTATCCCCGCACTTGTCGCTGCGGTGATGCGCACATCCCTGCCCTGTCGGAGCTGCACCGCAGCCCTGCACGCACGGCGTCAGCTGCGTCTCGCTGCGTCCGTCATCGCCCCGCGTGGCGCTGCGTGCTGCTCGTCGTCGTTGTCGTCGTCGTCGACCTCGGTCAGCGCTCTTGGGTGCTGCACCAGCTCCTTCTACGACAAAATCCGCGAGAAGCGCGACGGCAGCGATGACGGGCCGGAGCAGATGTTCGAGGATTTCGCGAAGAGCCCGCGCCGGCAACGGATGCCGGCGGAGCTGCACAAGTCGAACAAGGAGGCCGTCGACCGTGCGGAGTACCTGAATCGGATCTTTTCTGTTTTTCTCCTCTTCGTGCTGGGTGGCAGCATCTACTTCATTGACCCTTTTAACGGTGACCAGTACAGCAGACCCGAGGGCTACGGCGTGACGGATCCGAAGAACGTGTACGGCAGCAGCGACCGTGCCGGTGGCCCCCACGGACGACAATAATAGTAAGCAGGAAGTAGGGAGAAAAGAGAAAAAAGGGATGGAGGAGCACCTGTAACGGTGTTTGCTCCAATGCTCTACGTGCTTGCCGGTTGCTGCTGCGGCGGTGAGGATAGCTGGGTGTGTTCTTCACAGACTAGGTTGTAAAGCGTGTGCAAAGACGAATGGGGGAGAACGTAGTTCTTTATACTGCTTTAATGGAATAAATTGTTTTCCTTTGTGGTGTCGCCGCGCCTCTCTCTTTTTTTTCAAATGCTGATGTTGCTCTACCATGTTCATTTGCAATGGACACGTAACGTAGATCAACGCTGCCCCCTCCCGCGAGGACTTACGGCTTCTCTTTCCAGTATAGACATATAAATATATATATGCAAATATGAACGAAGAGAAGGTGCGATCGCCTTGAAGTATGCGTCTATTCGACTTCATCTCCTCCTCTCTCTCCTCCTCCTCCTCCTCCTCCTCTCTTACGCGTGCAACACATTTGACTTCTCCATTTCACAATACCACTACTAACGAAAAAACAACGCGTAGAAGAGTTCATTCCATCGTACCTACAAAAGAAGGAGGAGAAAAAGGCCGCATAATGGCGAAGGAAACCGCCAAGAAGAACCTGCGATCGAACAACGCTCGCATGCGCGTCTTCGCGGCGATCACGGCGGCCGTGAACGCCCTCTACGTGTTTGCCATTCTCCACCGCCGTGGTGGTCTGCCGTCCTTCACGGACCTGCTGGCAATCGTCTTCTGGGCCGGCCAGGAGTACGCGGCCTACCGCACATTGCACAAGCTAGCCCAGCCGACGCTCAGCCCGGAGGGGGACCTCCTCGACTGCATCGACGCGTCGAATCCGACGGAGCTCGGCTACTACACCTTCGTGCAGGACATGCTGTGGGTGTGCTGGGTGGTGCAGCTCTTCTGTATTCTGCACCCCGCCTTCTTCGTCTTTTACCTCCCGGTGCCTGCGACGCTCCTGTACAAGCTGTGGACGACGGTGCTGCGGCCGCTGGCGTCGATGTACTTTGGAGGTGGTGGTCAAGGTGGCCAGCCCGGCGCGCAGGACAACGGTGGTGCGGCGGCCGGCGGCAGCGCGGCCCCGCGTAATCGCCAGGAGCGTCGGAAGGAGGAGCAGAAGCAGCGCAAGGCGTCGCGGCGTGGGCGGGTGGAGGAGTGAAGGCCTTTTTTCCTTTTCCGTTGGCTCTCGTTGGTGCCTCTCCCTCCCCTCGTTCTCTCACTGTCTGTGTGTCTGCGGTTGCCCTTGGGTTGTCGTGTCCTCCACACCTTTACGGAGTGTCGGTGTTGTTTTGAAACTCATGTGCCGCGGTGTTCTACCGCGTGCAAGGCTTTTTTTTCTCTTCTTCCTCCGCGACTCTTCTGTGTGTTTGCTGAGTTCGGGCCTCTGCTGCAACGGAGGAGGAGGAAGGGGGTGCGCCACGGTGGGATGACGAGCCGTCAAAGAAAACAAATAAATTCAAATGATGCTCGTTGGGTTCAACCAAGTAGGCTCATCAGCGTTCTCCGCGGTGCGACTGCCGCCTCCAACTTGGCGGCTTTGCGGCGTCCTCGCAGCGAGCACACGCGCGAGGCAGAGAAAGAGCCAGAAGAAGCAGGAGAGCATCGCTGCGTATTTCATTCACTTCCTACCCTTCACGATGGTGAAGAACTCTGCGGCACGCGTTGCCGGTGGGGCGTGGAGGCCGCACACGCGGCAGTTTCCAGGTATTTCGCTGATGCGTAAAAAGACAACCAATTTAGTGGCACATCCGTCCTTTTTCTGCTGAGCACATCTCGAACTCCTCGCAACCTTTATTTCCTTCTTTCATACATACATATATATTTCTCTCTGTGAGCGTGTATGTGGCCTCTAACTTACACGACGCTTCACGCCCCAGTTCATTTGCAGAGAATATCGTTCATACGGAATTGTGGAAACAAGGAATACGCCGCCATATTATTATTAATATATTAATAATACTATTATTATTGTTTCTTTTCTACCTCGAGGTTGCGCGCGTGCTTGATGGTGCGGCGGAGGCGTCGAACTCTATCGAACTACAAAAGCAGAAGAGAAAAAGAGGGAAAACACACAAACTTACTAGCCGGAAAAGCGTGTTCTTTTTTCCCCATTTCTTTCGTTCTGTCCTTCATTGATTTACCTACACAAACACACACAGCAGCGTTGGTGCTGCTGTCTGCAGCTCTTTCTTTCATTATTTGAAACGCCTCCAGTGTTTTCCCATTCCACTTTCAGGCACGCAAACACACACACGCACTTAGCGGTGATAGACACCGATTCTTTTATCTCTTCTACCTTACCTTCTGACTCACCCCGTCTGCGAGCAAACAACGACAGCGCAGTAGAGTTATCGTGTAACGGGATCCCACGCGCAGACAACGTTGTGGAAGGGTTCGGAAAGCAGTGAAGCACGACAAACAACTAAAGGTAAAAGCTGCGACGACAAGACACAAATTCGCTTTTAAAAAATATTTTCGATCCACCACAGCATCAACATAAAAACCTTATATATCAATCTTTATATATATATATATATAGATGGGGGCGGCACAGCAGAAGGAAGCCGCCGCGTACTTCACGCAGGCGTTGACCGCCGCCTCCCCGCCCGCGGCCCCGGCCTTCCTCGCCCAGGTAAAGCAGTTCGAGCGTTATCTCTGTGGTGGCGCTGAGCTGAGCGGAGAGGCCCAGCCTATCGCCATGGCGGTCCTCCGCGCCTCCACGGCAAACACAACAGCAGGCGAAGTCGTTGGTGCGGTTGCCCAACGTGGACAGCTGCGCTGGCTTCTGCAGCTGTGCAGTTCGGTGCTCCGTGGAGTGCTGGAGAAGCCGAATGACACGGTGGACGCGTCGGCGCCGGCGCTGCTGCACGTAACAGAGCTGCTGCTGCGACACGTTCTGCGTTTCACGAAGGCGCAGTCGGCGGTGCTGGTGGAAATGTTCGAATCGGGCGGACAGGAGACGGCAGGAGCGGCAACGAACGCGGACGGCGCACCAGCCCCCGCCTCCTCGTCGGATGACCTCGTGAAAGAGGATGCAGCGGCGCTATTGTGCAAGACGTGCTTTGCGGTTCTCCTTCAGGTCCCACGCTCTTCGAGCACCGTCCTCTTGCATCTGGAAGTGCTACGTTTGCTGCTGACCATGACCTCGTCTGCGCTGCACCACAGCACCGAATTTCGAGAGGACACCATGGACCTCTTTACCGAGCTGATGATGTCCTCGCCACGGCTGCACGAGCTGCTCGACACCCTGCTGACGATTGTCGTTGAGTGGGGGAAGTCGGACTGGCAAGCGCCGCCGCCGCTGCTCTACCACGAAGGGTGTCAACCGTCGATGCGAAACTTCTTTCAGGTCTTCGGTGGCGGCGGCGCGGGCGACGCGGCGGGTGGGTCAGGGAAGCACTCCGTTCCGTACGTGCTGGACGTCGAGGTGCGCTCCAACGCACCCCAGGTGAACCCGCCCCCCAGCGGAGGCGCGGGTGGTAATGCCACGAGCAGCAGCAATGGCAGCAATGGCAGCACCGTCGAACCGAAGGATGCGGCGGCGGTGCTGCTCGGTAGCTGCAGCTGCTGGGAGCAGCTAGGGCGTCACGCCGCTGCGCTGCTCTGCGTGTTGGTCGTCCACCAGAAGGGCGGCGGCCGCAATCCGGCCCTGGAGTACCTCGCCGCGCTCCACGACGGCACGCCGGTGGCCTTCGTGCAGCTCCTCGCCGTCATCCGACGCGAGATCACCCGCTACCCGGAGATGTCCATACTGTTGTACGTGCTCTTGAACGACCACCGCACGTTTCTGCACACGGTGCTGAGCGAAGACGCGGCGTTGTTCGTCTCGGCGGTGCAGCAGCTGTTGGAGCTGACGTATAAGACGTGCAAGGACGGTTCACGACCAGGATTGATGTGCAGCAGCAGTGGCACCTGCACAGCCGCCGCCGCCGCCGGGTCGACGGCGAAGCCCGCGGAGGACGCTCTGCAGCCCGCCGTCCTCGGCCGCCTCGTCTACCATCTGCGAATCTTCTCCTACCCCTTCATCAACTTCATGTCCGGCACTCTCCTAGTGCTGCTTTCGCAGGACTGTGTAGTGAACCGGCTGCTGTGCAGCACGCCGTGCCAGCCGGGGCATCTGCTCGAGCGCTACGACACAAGTGCACCAGTGGGCGCCTTCGCGACGGTCGTTCTCGCGCTGGGCATTTTGCGAGGCTTCAACGAGCGGAACGAAGCCCTCATCGCCGTCTTCGCGCCTTCTCTGGTGAACCTCGCGCCGTACGTTCACGACATGGACCCGTACACCGCGCAGCGCGTTTCGAGTTTGCTGACCCTCGTGCTGCGGAAGATCCTCCGCGCCGGGGCGGTGCTGCAGGCGGCGAGCGATGAGGCGGCCGGTTCAACGGAGGCGAGTGATCTGAAAGAATCGTTCCCGGGCAGCAAGGTCAGCGCCGAAGAAGCGCAGGCGTTGGAGGAGATCGTCGTCATGTACGTCCGCCAGCTGCGCACCGTGATCGACGGCGTGGAGGCGCTGCTGCGGGGGGCGGACCGCCGCAACGAATACCTCGTCTACGAGCTGCTCTACGCGCGTGGGAAAATCATCGACGACGTCGAGGCGGCGGCGCAGGCGGGCCGCCCGTTTGCGGCCCCGACGCAGCAGCTGCTGATGGGTGTTGTGGAGATGATTAGGAACTGCGAGGCCGACATCGCGAGCTCGGATCAGGCGCAGAACCCGCAGGAGATTATCGCAATCTTGCGTCGTGGGCAGCGTCAGGACAGCGCCGTCGCGGAGGGGGCCGACGGAGGCAACGGCGGCGGCGGCAGCAGCAGCCGAAACAACAACGCGAACATGATTGAGATGACGAGTGGGTTTGGTGGGGCCGGTGCACCCAACGGAGGGGATAACGGTGCTGCGATGGTGTCAACAACGACGGCGGCGACGGCGTCGCGCTCGCCGGGGCCCGGTAGGAACGGCTCGGATGGGGCCTCCGTGGACCTGGTGTACAGCTACGAGGAATCGCCGCACAGCTACGACTTCTTTGGACCCTTTATCTGGTCCGTCCTGCTGAGTGCGTCGCGCGCGCCAGGCGGTGCGTTGTGGTGCCACCACAGCAGTGAACTGGCGTTGTTTCCCTACTAGCGAGGACAGGCGTGTCCGCACGCGAAGGTGTTTCGTGTGTCTTTCTCTCTCTCTGCCTCGCTTTGTAAGTGAATATACGAGGAGGGGGGTGGAGGGAGGGGTGCGATGCGTACCGGCTCTTTCCTCCTTTGGCCTTTTCCCCCTCCCTTTTTTTCTTCTACGCCGCGGTGACGGCGCCCTTCATTTTCCCATCTTTTCCCTTTAAAAGGAAAAAAGTGTTTTAACCCCCTCTTTATTTTTTGGATTGCTGGTTTTTGTTTTCGGAGAGCAAGACCGTCGCGGTGCTGGCCGCGGCGTAGGCGACGGAGCACACATACGCACAGCGAAAGAAAAGTCCACGCCGCGCTCGACGCGTGCGCCAGATGGGGTCGTGTGGGGACGGAACAACGATTCGAAGGGAGGAGAGCCGGAGCGGTTGATTCGGTGACGCGAGGGCGAAGACGCGCCTTTTGGAAAGGAAAAAAAGAAGAAGCAGTTGCAGCAGTGTACGCACCCCCTTTTTTTCGGCTGTCCCTTTCATTGTTACTGCTCTGACAGCTGTGCAACGGGAGGAAATCACGAGGGGAGATGAATCGGAAGCTCCGTGCCGTGCGCTCTCCCTCTCCCCGTCCCGCCTCTCCCCTCCCCTCTCGCCGACCTCCTCTCCAGGAGAGGCCGCTTCTTTGGGTGTTGTTGCTCCGCCGTCCCGCCCTCCTCACTTTGGAGGTTTTTTCGCCCCTCCCCTCCCCAACCCCTCGAGGTGGAAATGCAGACGACCCGAGTCTGCAAGAGACTCCCCTCTGCAGAGTCTCCTATGTGTGTTACAGCAGTGTGCATTTGACATCAACCCTTTAATGAGCGAAGAAGAAAGGACACGGATAAAGTAATTCGATTCACGGGGTGCAGTGATGTTTATGAACGTCCTTTTCTTTTCCTTCGTCGTTCTTCTCTCCCTCCTCGATGAGAGTCGCGAGGAGTCGAGCTGGATTTTCCAAACCAGCGAGGACGGTGCTCCATCCTTCATGTCTCGTTCGCTGTCTCTCTCTCTCTCTCTCTCTCCCGCCAGGAAGAAAGAAGACAAAGGAAAGAAACCCGTGTGAATACACAGCAAGTGGAGCGAGAGAAGCAAGGAAAAGAGAGGGAGATCAGCAGCTCATTCAGCGTGTTGGTGCTTCGCTGCGTCACGCTTTCCTTTCTGTGTTCGATCATCATTCCACCCCTCTCCCCCTTCTCCCCTTCGTCCTTCTCAATTGTATTTCCTTTTCCTTTTCTTGTTGTTTTCTGCAATAAAGCTCGTACCATCTCTCCTTGTATTGGCAGTGTTTGTTGGAGACTGGCCGCCTGCTGCCGCCGCCCTTTCCTGCGACACCACCGTACCTCTCGCCCACCGTGACGGTCGTGAAAAAGAAGAAGAAGAGCAGCAACGAAAAACGGCTTAGCATCGTCTGTTTCTTTTCCCGGTGGTCCGCAGAAAGGTAAGGCATATATATATATATATATTCATTTAAAACGGACATCATGCAGCGTCCACCGCGGCCGGAGCCGACGCGAATCTCGTCCTACTTCTTCGAGCAGCTCCAACCCGTTCGCCACGACGACGATGACGTCGGCAACGGTGCGAAGGCGAAGGACCACACCGCCGCTGCTGTGGAGGCGGCGGAAACAGCGACCCCGTCGCCTCCGTGTGTGGTAACGCCCCCGGTCGCTTACCTGAAAAGCCTCTTCGAAACCGGGCCTGAGGGGCCGCACCGCGACGGTGCTGGGGAGCCCGCTCCCATCTTCTCAGCACCCCCGCAGCCGCAGCAGCAGCGTGACCTGCAGCAAGTGCTGTGGACGTCGTTCACTCCCGCCCCCTACACCGAGAACTTCTCTACCTTCCTCACTGATGAGAGCGGCATCACCGAGCGACTGCGCGGGGCCGTGGCGGAGGCGTGGGAGAGCGTGGAGAGCGTCATCCAGCGCAACAACGACCGTCGTGCGCGCTTGACGGCGCTGACGGAGGAGACGGCGGCGTGGCGTGACGAGGTGCGGTCGAAGCTGTACTGGCAGTCGTCGGATATCGTTTCGCGGTACGGCTTGGAGGTCGGGGGCCCGGCCACGGCGGATGGCGCCAGCACGGCGGCGGCGGCCGCACAGCAACCGCACCACAACGGCGCCGCCGACGAGCACATTTTGCTTGACTTCTCTGTGCTGCAGGAAGACCCACAGGAAGGCACTGCTGCCGCCACCGCCGCCATCACGCCGCACCGAACAGCACAAGACGCGGATCAAGACGATGACAGCGACGGCGTAGACGGCGAGAGCGACGGGGCGAGCGCTGCACCCACCGTGGATGCGGCGGTGCACGTCACGGCAACCGCGCCGCAGCTGCAGCGTGCCAAGGCGTGGACGACGGACACAAAGGACCTGCTCGACCCCTGTGCCCGCCCGCACCCACTGCGACGCATCTTCGCTCCGCTGCAGCGCGAACGTGACACCTTCCCGAAGTGGACGACGCTCCTCCTGCGCGATGTGCGCGAGGTGCAGCAGACGAAATTACCCGACTTAGAGGCGCGGCTGCGCAGCTCGGTGCTCTTCAAAGTACCGCTGCACCGCCCGTTTTTGGAGGCCCGGGCGGTGTTGCAGGCCTGTGCGACGCAACACCGGGCAGCGCCGGCGGTCGAGGCCGGGCAGGTCGCGGCGTATCGGCAGGTCGAGCAGTTCGCACGGAGGCTGACCGCGTTTCTTCACGAGCAGCGGCCCACCGCCGTCACGCCGGACGGGCGCGATGCCGCAAAGAACGTGGAGGAGGACCTTATCACCGACACGGGCGAGCGCTGGGCGACGGCGGAGACGCTCTGGACGATGTTGCTGACGGAGCTGGACGCGTGCAAGCGCTTCCTCGCCGATGCCGTGCCGCGCTGCACGACGCTGCACGACACCGTGATGGCGGAAAAGGCGGTGGCGCAGCGCACGCTGGAGGAGCGCCGTGCGGCGTGCGAGGCGACGCTGACTCGCATGAAGGCCGAGGCGCGGACCTGCTCGGAGCTGCTCACCCGCAACGGACGGCGCACCTTGGCGGCGGTGGCGGAGATGGAGGAGAAGTTTGCGCCGGACCAGGCGCGCCTGCAGGCCGCCATCGCACGTCGACAAGCGGAGCTGACACAACTGGCGGCGCTCCAGGAGAAGAACGTGCGACGTGTCCGCGAAGCGCTCAAGGCGTGCTTTGTGGATCAGATGAAGTACGAAGAAGCCGCGCAGGCGCTGTTGCAGGACCAGGTCAGCTTAGCCCAACTCGAGACGAGCCATCAACAACTGCGACGGGCTGTCCAGGTGCGGCACGAGGGCGTGGTGGAGTGCGAGAAGCACGCCGTGCTGCTCGCGCAGCTGCTGGAGGACGCCGACACGGTCGCTCACTCCCTCTTCTCTGTCAGCGAGGCCCATCAGCGACGGATGGCAGACGAGGATTACTTTGTTCAGTGCCGCCTCGTGGATCAGTGCACGCTTACGCTGCAGCAGCGCTGTCGGTGTCTGCACGCCATGGCCGCCCTCTACGACCAACGCTACGCCACGCTCGAACAACGCGCCGGCGGGTCGTGGCAGCTGCAGTTTCTGCTCGCCGGCGAACGCGATTGGGCGGTGGCGAATCTGGCCGACGTGCGCGCTGAATTTGCGCTGTTGGAGCGGGACTGGGAGACGGTGCGCGACATGCGAGCCGCCATGGACATGGAACCGGCGGCGCTCGACGTCCTCGTGCACACGGCGGAGTGGGCGACGCTGAGGGCAACGCTGCTGCGGCTCGATGCCCCGCCTCCGTTGCAGCGGCAGCTGCCGACGTTGCGAGCGCACGCCGAGGCCGTGGCGCACCCAGCGGCGGGGTGTGGTTCGCAGGCGGTGCGCCGGCTTTTGACGAGTTGATGCAGGAGAGAGAGGATCACACACAGGCTGTCGTTTTGCCTCTTTTCGCTGCTCACCCCGGTGATGTACATTCCTTGAACACACAACCGTCTACGTTGGTATTATTTTTAGTATTATTTTTCTCGAAGTAGCATTGCGGATTCCTACTGCCGCGGCTGGGGCGAAAGCACCCGAAGACACCGTCTATGATGTACAGCACTCTTCGATTATTATATATACATATACTTCCGGCTGTCGACATCTGCTACGGATGCGCAGGTTAAGCGGTGAAAATCAAGAGAGAACAACCATAATACATATACATATATATATACGTCAGTATCTGTGAACGGAAAAATATTGCCCGCGGTTCCTTCGGTAAACGTGGCCGTGTTGTGTCATCCTGCGCTCTGTCAAGGAGAAAGCAAATACATCGCGGATTGGCTGCATCGCACAGCGATGCAACGCGTGGAAAGAGGAGAGAGAGGGAAACATAGCAAAAAGCAGCAGCAGCAGCAGCAGCAGCAGCAGCAGCAACAAGCTTATGATAGCTGCGTGTCGTAATGCAATGAGACGCTTCTCCCTCCTTCTTCCTTCTTTTCCTTTTCTTTTCTGTTGTTTCCATATTACTCTTCGTCTACTCCGCTCTCCTCTCACAGGCAACCAACCCCCGACATATCGACAGCACACGACCACCCGGCGTTGCAACCTGCATACACATCTAGCTGCGTGCGCCTTTGCGACTCTCCGACACACCCATACACACACTATATACGTATCATGAAGATACCCGCTGCGGTGCACCCTGCCAATCATTTCCACGTGCAATGCCTACTCCTGCAGGCCGGCCTGTGCGCCGACGAGGGCCTCTACGCTCCTCGGCGAGGTCAACGCCGGGAGTTGTACCGTCTGGCTCACGCCCTGGCCCTCTCACGAGTGGCGCTGGAGGAGTGCTCGCTGGAACCTCGCCGTCAGCCGCAGCGGCATGAGCCACAACTCCACGATCCTCGAGATGCTCCCCAACCGCGGCAGCAGACGCAGCAGGACAGCGATGTTCATACTAATCAAACGACGATGAAGCCCGTGCACGGCGCGCAACGACGAACAATCACGCAGCTGCTCAGTGGGCTGTCCGACCGTCTCCCTCCTCTTCCACAGCAGAACACTTCAGAATCCACTGGAAGCGGTCAATCAGCACCCGCATCATCGTCAACGTCATCGTCGTTGCGCTCTTCGATTTCACAAGCCGCTCATGTCTCCGCGTTGTTGTCTTCCATGGGCGACGTGGCTTTCACCCCACCCCATCGCCTGGTGCCCCTCTACGCACCTCGCACCCTCCTCCCACCCATCCCCTTCTACCCCTTTCATGATGATGTGACGTACGACGCTGCCGTGCATCACGCGTCACTGCTGTCCAAGCTACTCGGCCCCTACGGGTTTGAGGTGGCGCTGACCGGGGCCATGCGCCGTGGCTGCCCGGTGGCGACGCACGCCGACTACTTGATCTCGCTGACGGAGGAGGCGACGCGTGCGGTGGAGTCGGTGCAGGCGATGCGTGCCACGGGCGACACAAGCGTCTCACAGCAGCAGCAGGAAGAGGAGGAAGAAGAGGCACAAGAAGAGCGGCCGCCCCGGTCGTGGAGCGCGAAGAAGCAAGAGCGCACGTCGGCCGCCTCGCCGGTGGCACACAAATCGGCTGCCGTCTCTCGCAGGGTAACCGGGGCGTTGCATCGGGATGCGTTGACCATCCCCATCCCGGCCCCCGCCCCCCACGCCAGCACCGCCACCGCCGCGGCTTCTTCTGCAGAAACGCTGAATGTCAATGGGAGGGCAGGTGATGACGCCATGGGCGATGTCCACGCCGCCCCACAACGGCGGCGCCCAGGTGAAGAGCACGCGGCACCAAGGAAGCAGCTCTGCAGTTGCGTGACGGCCTTTGCGGCGTCCGATGTGGTCAGCCCGCAGGTTGCGCACCGCACCCAACGCGCGATCCAGCAGCTGGTGCAGTGCGGCTACATCGTTGCTGGACAGCTCCCGCTGCTGACTCCTGCCTTCTTGTGCCGTCGGCAGCCGGTTGCCGTGTCGGTGCGCTACGACACACGGTGTCCGACGCAGGTGCCTCCGATCGAATGCACTGATCCACACGTGCTGGCGCGTCTCGAGCTGCATCGAGTGAATTTGCTCTTCAGCCCATGTCACGCACGCGCCACACGACATCTGTTCTTGACGGGTCCGCCGGCGTTCACCGCGCACGTCACGCTGCAGGCGCTGGCGCGCGGCGTGGACCTGAACATGAACGGAGCGTTCGAGTGCGTCGCCTCGCAACGGAGCGTCAGCCCGCACCACGACAGCCCGGCTGCTGCGACGACGTTGAACACAGCTGGTGAACCAGTGCTCACAGAAGATGCCGTGAAGAGGCCGGGTGCAGACTCGCCGGCGATGGAGCCTGCATCGCCGCTGCATCGAGAGGTGGTAGAGCAGCTGCTGCTGAGCAGCGAAGAGGACGTCTTCGCGGTGGCCGGGATGCCGGTGGTTGATCCGCTTCTGCGCGGTGTGTATTGCCAGATGCATCACCTTGAGTAAACTCCGTTCAGAAAACTATCTGCTATGTTCTTTATTATTATTACTACTTCTTCTTCCAAATGATGGACGTGGGGCGCGTCGCGGCTCACCTCCTTCCCCCCTCGCACACCATCAGCACTGCTATTTGGTCCCTGCGTACATGCATCGTTGCACGCGAGATGCCTCCAGAAAAAAGAACGCAAACAAGAAGTACAACACAGTGGGCGGCGCAAACGCCCCCGTTGACGCGGGTTCTTCACCATGCATCTGTAAGAACGGGAAAAAAAAGAAAAGCACTTACAAGTGAAAGCTGGAAAAGAAGGGAAAACCTCTCATTCGCTGTTCTCGTTGACGTAGCTTTAAAAAAGGACAAAAAAAAACTTTTCATCGTCCTCTTCCTCCTCCACCCCACCCCTCCTCTTATAAATCGCAGTTCACATTCTGTAGGTGACATCATGCAGCCCTATCTTCGCAAGCTCCGCAAGCTGAAGCGCAGCAAGCCCAGCGACCTGGAGGAGAGCGTCGCCAAGACGCTCTTCGAGCTGGAGACGTCGCACAAGACCCTCCGCCAGGAGCTGCCGCGCTTCAACATCAACGGCGTGCGCATGGTCAAGGTGCCGCGCTCGAAGAAGACCGCCATGGTGATCTTCTACCCCCTGCGCTTCCTGATGCTGGTGCGCAAGGTGCAGCGCGTGCTGACCTCCGAGCTGGAGAAGCGCCATTCGGGCTGCATCGTGCTGCTGGTTGCGCAGCGCAAGATCACGAAGCGCCCGACGGACTTGTACAAGCGCCAGAGCGTGCAGCGCTCCAAGACGAGCACCGCGGTGTTCGAGAACATCCTGAACGACCTCATCTACCCGAGCGACGTCGTGGGCCGCCGCTGGCGCTTCCGCACGGACGGCAGCAAGATGATGAAGGTGTTCCTCGATGCCCGTGACCGCAAGCGCGTGGAGTCCCGCCTGCGCGTGATCGCGTACGTGTACAAGCAGCTGACGCACCGCCGTGTGTCCTTCGGCTTCATGTGGAACCCGAAGCTGCAGCAGGTCTCCACCCGCTAAGCTATCCAGAAGTGAAGCGTAAAAGGGAAAAACAGGTAGGGGGAAGAGAAGGGAAAAGGACGAGGATGACGACGTGGGGCGAGCGAAGACGGCATCATGCTGCGTTGTGGTGAACACTCCACGCGCGTGAGGGTCTTTCTTGTTCTTTTCGGAGGTGATGCCCCCTGCGACTCTCTGTCGGCGTTAAACCGGGCCCGTGTTGGTTTTTCGCTTTGTCCCCCGCCGTCCCCCGCTCTCTTCTCGACCGCGTGCTTTCTTCTGCCTTTGCTTTGGTTTTGCTCATCGGGTGCGTGAGGTCGACCGTGAAATCCTCCCTCTTTTCCGCTGTGTGTTGGTTCTTGTTTCTCATTTCATTTCAAAGCTAAAACAGACAAAGAACAATAACATCTCCCCCCGAAAAAGAAAGATTGAGGGAAACGCGCTGATGATGTCCGTCTGCGCCGCGGATGTCGCAGCGTTGAAGGCAACACTTTCATCGTGCGTGCATTCCCCCTTTTTTTTTAAGGGGGAGGTCTCACGCTTGCCTTGATAAGCGCGCCGAAACGCAGCGAGTACCGCCCTTTCGTATGCTCTTCGCATATGTATATATATATATATATATGTGTGTGTGTGTGTGTGTATTTCTCTCCTCTCACATGCACGTTTGCTTGCGGCTCGACAGAGAGCAACCGCCTTCCTGCGGAGTGTGGAAGGGAAACGTATTTCGCTGCTATCTCGGTATGAAACCTCCTGAGTCGCTCGACTCCTCTTCCCCCCCCCCCCTCTTCTTTTCGTCTCTTTGAAAGCTGCTCTCCCCTTCCCCCTCGAGTCGTATTCCACCCTCCGAAAAGAGATCACAAGATCCTATTTCAAAGGAATTTCTTGTTCTCTCTCCCGTGTCCTCTCACTGTAGTTTCCTTAATATTAATTATTATTGCGATTACCATCATCTCCCCGTGCCACATCGTGCTCTCTCTCTCTGTGCGTGTGTGTATTTTTTCTCCTTCTTTTCCGCTGCTGCTACCTCACATGCTGACGTAAAACATAAATCAACCAGCAACCAAACAGAAACAAGAATCCCTTGCGATATTGTTGAGCTTCGCTCCCGAATATATATATATATATATATATATATTAAAAGCGCGATTGCGCCGTCACTGGCACCGTCAGCCAAACAACACAACACATCTGAGCGCTGCTGCTCCTTCCTCCGTCCTTCCTCCCCTTCGCTTTCCACGCTCCACGTGCGTTCTCACATCAGTACTATTATTATTATTACTATTGAATTGTGACAGCGCAGCATCGCCCTTTTGTTGGTGTTCACATATATATATATGCAGAGAGAGAGAGAGTTTTTCTGTTTGGTTCTTGTCTGCGCATCTGTGGCACGCCAGTCATGGAGCTTCAGGCGACCATGGCGCTGGACAGAGACGCGGTGAACACCGTGACACTGCGGCTGCTTCCCCCGTCCACCGCCCCCGCCTCCGCCACCTGTTGGCTTCTCCTCCACACCGTTCCCATCACCGCCAGCCTCTCCCGCACACTCAGCCGGTTGGTCTCCATCGAGGAGACGGCCATGGCGCAGGCCCCGCTGGAGCTCACACCACCGCCGACAACATCCACAGCAGCGATGACGACACGACCAGCGGATGGCATCACCGCAGCAACGACACGAAGCAGCGCCTCGCGGCGACTCGGCGAACAGACGTCTGCTCTTTCTTCCGCTGCTGCTTCCCATTCGCCCTCGCCGTCTCCTTCTGCTGCCTCCTCGGAGTCCAGCGCGCCGTCGTCGGTCAACGCGTCGTTCGCGCAGGCCCAGACGGCGGGCTGGGTGGAGCTGGTACGTGTCGGCTACATCGTGAGCGAGATACACGCCTACTGTATTCTGCTGAAGTGCCACTGCCCGTCACAGGCGGTGTGGATGAAGGCCGCGCTGGAAGAGGGCGCCGCGTTAGCTGTGACGGCCCCGGTGGAGTTCGTGAGTGATGAGCAGCCGACCACTGTCACCCGGCGCACCTTTGCGGAGACGTGGGAAGAGGGGAAGGTGGCGGCGGCGCGTGAAGAAGGGCGAACCGACGCGGGCACTTCGCCGGTAGATGGAGGTGCAGACACGCAGATGGACGCCGGAGTGGCGATGGGATCCGCCGCGCCGCTCCTCGCCCCACACGCGCGGCGACAACAGCGGATGCGGGAGACGCAAAACGATGGCGACGGGGCTCGTGTGGTTGTTGGTGAAGAGGGCAGTGCGGACGGCGCGGCGGGGCAGGGGCAGAGGTGGCGCACCGAAGTTCACGTCATGTCGCTCTTCGACGCGGTGACCACGATTTACTCGGTGCGGGACGGGGAGGGAGGGGAGAACGACGAGGCCGGCGGCGAGGAGGTAGACGAGCACGATAGTAGTGCTGGACGGCGGGCATCCGAGCTGCGTCGGTCCCTCCGTGAGACACCACCGCAGCAGCAGCAGCAGCAAGATGGCAATAATAACCGCAGAGGTGGTCACAGTCGTTTCTCGCAGGTGCTCCGACGGCCGGCCAGCGATCAGGCCCTGTCAGCGCCCTCTTCTCCCGCGCCCTATCACCGCAAGTCCCCCATGGCGTCTTCTGCTGCGGCAGTAACCGCGGCGGAAGGCTCTAGAACACCACCGATGGCGGGCGCCGGTCGTGCTCGTGGGGCGATGACAGCTGCGAAGGGCGTTGCCCCGCCACCGTCGCCGCATACCGCCCGATTCAATCGCCAAGCACACACGCCACTGCACCTACCGAACCCATGCGGGGGGGAGGCGGGCGCTACGCCGCTGCGGCTTGACAGCTCCAACACGAAGTACTATGCGAAGGATCCTCAGCAGCGGGGGCGGGCCGCAGAGGGGTCCTTGCCCGTATCACCAGAGGCGACAACAGCGGGCTGCCTCCGCGAAGAGTTCTGCGCCATTTGTCAAGTAGACCCGCTGCGCAGCGCCGCCTGCGTGACGACGCTGTGTCAGCACTCCTTCCACCTGCACTGCTACGCGCAGCTTCCGTCGGGGTCCGCAGAGTGCCCGCTGTGCCGCTTCTCTGTCTACGAGCTGCTGAACGACGCTCGCTGCGAGGTGTGCGGCACCTACGAAGACTTGTGGGTGTGCCTCATCTGCGGCCACGTCGCCTGCGGGCGAGCCCGGCGGGACCATCAGCAGGAGCACTACCGCAGCTCCGGCCACTCCTGCGCGTGGCAGAGCAGCACGAACCGCATCCGCAACCTCAGCTCACGCATGTTCCTCCACCAGGAGGTGGCGCTGCTGCTGGACGAGGCGGAGGCGGACGAGGCCGCGCCGTCGGCGTCCGCTGCAGCCGGGGATGGAGGTGGCTTCGATCCGCTGCGTCACATGTCCTGGGCGGAACCCGTCGACTCCGACTTGCGGGAGGCGCTGAACGAGAGCAAAGAGGAGGCCGTCGCGCACTACTACACGTCGTTTCTTCAACAGCTGGCGGAGGAGCAGCGGCTATACTACGAGCAGCGTCTGGCGCAGCTGCGCGGTCGTCGTGAGCGTCGTCGCTGGCGCGCGGAGATGCGGAAAGAGGAGGCGGACGAAGACGCAGTGCACAAGCGGGGCGCAGAGAGTGGAATGTGCCACCATGGCGCACAGCAACAGGCGTCGCCCTACGCCTCCGTGTACGCCGTTGTTCGCGAGGAGCGGCGGCAGCGGCGGCACGTGCTGGCGGAGTACGTCCCCGCCACGGTGCAGCTTCTCCAGCAGGCGCAGCGGGCCTCCACCAGCTTGTACAACACCCTCAAGTCATCACGGGATGACGTGCAGCAGCAGGTGCTGCTCCGCTCGCACTTCAACGCGGGACTGGTCACGGAGCTGGGGCAGGTACGCCAGCGGACGCGCGAAGCGGAGAAGAAGGGGGAGAAGAACCTGCAGGTGAAGAGCGCTGAGGAAGCCGCGCTGCAGAAGAAGGTGGAGGAGGCGCTGTCGGCACTGTAGCGCATTCGTTTCTATCTTCTTCTCCTTCTTCTTGCTTTCCTTGGTCTTCCCAGCTCTTTGGCTGTTGATGGATACTGCCATTCAAGTACGCCGACCGGCTTTTTTTTTGGGGGGGAGGGGTTCTGTCTTTCCATCTCACGCAGGTACACTTCTTTCTTCCACTAGTGGTGACGTTGTTGTTGCTGATCTTTCGTTTTCCTGGACGACTGTTATCGTGTGAGTGTGTGTGTGTGAGAGAGAGAAGTGAATGGGAAGCGTATTTGGTGCTACCAAGAGCGTGATGCCTGCAAAGAGGAGAGATGACCCATGAGCACAGAATATTTCATGTTTTCTCCTATTTATTGCTGGAACACGCCACCATCGCCACGACTTCCAAGTTAGACCATGCGCTGCGGCTTCGGACGCGAACAGCTCTACATTTGCTACCGCCCACCTCGCGAGAAATATAGGCTCTGTCGATCTTTCGCAGCCTATAGCATTGTTTTGTTTATTTCCCCCCCCCCCAATTTATGTTATTTTGTTCTTGAAGTGTTCCTATCAACGCGCTTAATAATACTATTCCACCTACTACTAAATTTTTCCCCCTATTTTTTTCCGCAATTCAAATCTTTGGGTTGGTCTCCCTCCCTCCCTTCCTTTCGCCTCTTCTGTGTCTTCTCGTTGTTAATTACGTAGGCTCTCCGTTTGCTGTTGTCATCATGACCGTTGATCGAGCTGCGCGGGTTTTTGCTTGTTGGCTTTTCTCGTCTCACCTCCATTGATACTTTGGTAGTATTATCATTTCTCTTTTCTTCGTAAGTGCTAAGTACATATATATATTTTGTATTTTCCCCCGTTCGTGTAGTGCTGCTGTTTCTGCCGGAGTGGTGTGCGTCTTGTGTGGACGCTGCGCTTCCCCGCTGTGAAATACATATACTTCTATACATAAATACTCTTGTTCTTCGCCGGGCACATAGGTCAGTTGTGCGTGAACATATCTTCTAGACAGAGGTAGAAGGAGAAGGAGGAAGCAACGATGGCGTCGGTTCCTAACCTGACCATCTACGAGGCGTGGCAGTCCACACTGGTCTCTTTCCTTGTCCCTGCCTGCGTGCTCTCTGCCTGGCCGGTCTTCGTGATCGTCTGCGCGGCCAACCGAGCTCCGTTGAAGCTGCTGTGCATCCTCGCCTTGGTGTCGCTGGCCGACGGCCTCCTCGGCAGCTGTGCGTTTCCTCTCACCCATCAGTACGCCTTCACGCCCTCGCAGAACAACGGTCTCTTCTACGCCGGCTCCCTTAGCTACTGGCTTGGCGGGTTGGTCCTGGGCCCCGTGATGGAGGTCGGCGGCGCACGGAAGTCAAGTATCGCGTTGAGTCTCGTGGGCCTGCTCGGTGCAGCCTTCTCGGCGCAGGACACGTTTGTGCTGACCTTTCTCGGCCGCTGCTGCAGCGCGACGGCGACGGCCGGCCTGACCACCTTGGTGGAGTACCTGCTATACGCGGAAGCGCGCCTTCCCCGCGGCGGTCCGGGCGAGGGCGACGAGCAGTACCTCGACAAGGAGCACCACCCCAGCAGCGGCAGCGGCGGCGGCGATCCAGGCGCGGGCATCGACAGCCTGGGCGGCGGCGTGCTGACCATGTACCACCAACTGCGCCCGCTAATGCTCTGGGCCGCCATGCGGCTGGGTCAGTACGCGATGTTCGCCACACCAATGATCTCGACAGGGCCGTGTTGGGCAGCGACGGTGTGCTATGCGGTGGTGGTGTTGATGGTGTGGAAGGTGTTCCCGCTGGCGAGTCGACGGAAGAAGCTGAGCGGCGATGCAGGAGCGGAGGCGGACGGCCTTTTCCCGGGCTTGGTGCCCGCGAAGAGCCGGTTGCTGTCGTTGCTCTCGTCGATGCTCTCCCCAGCAGTGCTGCGATGGGGGCGCTGCTTTGCGAGCACCTACGCCGTTTCCATTCACACGCTGCTGCAACCGAAGCAGGTTGCGCGGCATCTTGTTGACATCCTCTTTGGCGGCCTTTTCCTTGTCTTGTCGCTGCTGTGGGTGCCAACGCTCGAGATGTACGACGACAGCATCCCGTTCGGCTTTATCTTTCAAATCTTCATGATCGCCCGCTTTCTCGGGAGCACGATCTCGCTGCCCGTGTGGGCCGCAGGATGGGCGGAGGCCGCGCTGGTGCTCCTGTTAAGCGTTGCCGCACGCGTGCTGAACACCTCGCGCGACTACGCCATTCCCGTGACGATTATGCTGGCCGGCGTGGTGATGCACCTGGTGGCCGGCGTAGCGCAGACGACCGGCAGCTTGTGGAGGGCCGAGTACCCAGCCGCCACCGCTCCGCTGACCTTCCTATTTCTTGTGCACGCGCTGACAGGCATCAGCGGGTGGCTGTTTCTGCTGGTGATAGACGGCAAGTACATGGAGGACGCGTTCGTGTTTGAGGCGCGGTGGATTTATGCACTGATGTGGGTGGAGGCGGTGGCCCTCGCGCAGTACATCGTGAAGCGGGCGCGGCAGCATCGCGAGACGACGGTTCTGCCGAGCAGCGGTGTAAAGGAGAGCTGGCGCGAGGGCGGTGCTGAGTGGTGAGACGCGCTTGTTGATGCCGCAGGGTCAACTGCGTGTCCTGCTGGACGGCTAACAAAGGGTAGAAGCTTCCAGAAGGTATGGAAAAAGAAAGGAACAGGTTGCTGTTTTTTTCCTGCTGTTGGTGATGGGGAGGGATCAAATTTTGACTTGGTGTAGGTGATGCGGCCTTCATATATGTTCGTCGTTGCGGCTTGTGTCTCTTTGCGGGGGACGTTGAATCCCTCCAAGCCAACTGTGCTCGCCGTATGTATACATAATTTATATATTTAGACGCCGTGCTTGCAAGAGTTTAAGACGACCTTTTTAACTTCTTTGTTTTTTTTTTGAGTATAATTTCCTTTTGTTTTTGTCACCATCGTCTCCTCCGCATCATCGATATCACGCACCACGGTTGCGCGTGGTTTTCTTGCTCTTCTCTCTTCCTCTCTCTCTCTCTCTCTCTCTCTTCACGAGTTACTGCTCTGACAGCTGTGCAACGGGAAGAAGTCGCGAGGGGAGATAAATCGGAAGCTCCGTGCCGTGCGCTCTCCCTCTCCCCGTCCCGCCTCTCCCCTCCCCTCTCGCCGACCTCCTCTCCAGGAGAGGCCGCTTCTTTGGGTGTTGTTGCTCCGCCGTCCCGCCCTCCTCACTTTGGAGGTTTTTTCGCCCCTCCCCTCCCCAACCCCTCGAGGTGGAAATGCAGACGACCCGAGTCTGCAAGAGACTCCCCTTTCGGGAAGTTCAAACAGTGTCATTTGAAAGAAGAGGCATAAGACGCTGTCAACCCGTAAAGGACAAGGGAGAAAATGGATGTGATGGCATTTGTTAACACTTTTTTGAGCTTCCGTCCTTCTTCTCTCCTTCCTTCCTCAACGGAGCGCCGTCGACGAAAAAAAATTTTCCTTTGAGTTCGCGCACTCTGCAAGGTGACGTGAGGTGGTTTATAACTATTTATATACATATATATATATGTATGAAGAAAACGGAGGAAGCCGAGAAAGGCGAGAAAAGGAATTGTAGAAAGAAGAAACATGAAAAACAAGAAATGATGCTGCGTTGACTGGCCTGTATCGCCGACGGTGAACGCGCATTCTTTCTTCTCGCTGCTGCGGCGTTTCGTTGCCGGTAATGCGGGCGCTGGCGCGGTGTCGTCTCGTTATTACTTCTTCTTCGCCACTCTGTTTCTATGTGTGTGTGTGTGTGGGTGGGGGGGGGAGGCGGAGGGGCGGAGGGGCAGGGGATTTCATCACCACCTTTTCGCCTTCCAGCACAGTAACTGTTGAAGGGCACTCCGAAAGCGGTCTCTTCACGCGCATCTCTCCTCGTCTTGCCTTCTCCACTCTCCTCAACAATAGTACTACTACTCAAAATAATCAAATCAGCGAAGGCGCTCGCCACTGAGTAGTTTACCTTACTGCCCTGTATCGACTCTATACATTATTATTATTATTATTCCTATTATTGCTTTCTGTATACACCTGTGCTTTACGCATTTTCCTCCCTCGCGTACGTGCCGGCCTTTTCTTTTTTACATGCTATCTCTGTCTCATTGAACCCCACACACACTCACAACTCTCCACGATAACTCACATCAGCCTCCCACTCCAAATTTCTTCCTCGGAAAGAAGAAGAGGACCAATCCGATATTTTTTTTTCGTTGTACTCCAGCAGGACGTGATGTAAGCGCACGCCTGCTCACACGAGACAACAAACACTTCAGTATATATATTTATATAAGAAGAAAGGGAACACACAATGGCCTCCTCTGCCTCCGCCTGCGCAGCGATCAATCCCGCCACGGACGCCCTCATCATTGTGGACATGCAGAACGACTTCCTCGTCGACGGGGCGCCGTTGCACGTTCCGGGCGGTCTTGCTCTTGTGGAAGCCATCAACGCTGCATCCCGCCAACTCACCTTTCGGTGCCAGGTCGCGACGCAGGACTGGCACACAGAGGATCACTGCTCCTTCAAGGAACAGGGCGGCCTGTGGCCCCCGCACTGCGTCCGCGGCTCGCCTGGCGCCGACCTCCACGCCGACCTGCGCACGGACCACCTCCATTGGATTCTCCGCAAAGGCACGAGGCAGGCGGCCGACAGCTACTCCGCCTTCGCGGACGAGTCGAAGCAGCCAACGGGGCTGGCCGGCCTGCTGCACGCCCTCGGTGTGACGCGCGTAGTCGTGTGCGGGGTGGCGTACGACTACTGCGTCTTCTTCACTGCGATGGACGCGCGGAGGGGCGGCTTCGACGTGGTGGTGGTCGCCGACTGGTGCGCCGCCGTCGATGCAGCGCAGGTGCCGGCGCGCACGGCGGCGCTGCGGGAGGCGGGTGTGCGTGTCGTGGAGAGCTCAGCCTTGTCAGCGGAGTAGGTAAGACGCCCAAGAAGGGACAAGGGGGGTTGAGAGGGATTTGCAAAAGGAAAAAAAGAACCCGATGTCGGTGCTCGTCTGTGGGTACGATCATTCGGAGGGAGGAGGGAGGAGGCAGTTGTTGTATCACGTGCGCTGCGCACGGCGGCGGCCCCCACGTCCCTCTCACCGCTTCTCTTCTTATTTCTTTCTTTCCCCCATTTACTACCTTACGCTATTACGCTGCTTACTGCTGCAGCTCTGCGCGCTGTCACGGCCTTGCAGCCCCTCACCGACATCCTTGCGTTGATTGAGATGAGCGACGCCGCCGAAGAAGTCAAGAAGAAAAAGAAAAGCGCAACAAGAAAAGGAAACGAGTGGCGGAAGACGAGTGCGCTGTAGCACGTCGCAGCGGTGCAGCTCTTATGCGATAACGAGCAGGGCAACAACAAGGATAATAGCAATAGTAAAATGCAGATGTGCAGATACATATATGTGAGGAAGTACTTCAGCGCTCTGTAGCGATATTGATATGTATATAGTGGCTTTTGCTTTGCACGACGCCTCCCCCGCCGGAACGCAGACGGCGCTTATGGAAACGCTCTTCATCTCCTCTCCTTTTTTCATTTCTTCTCTTCTTCTCTCTTTGTATATTGTGCGGGGTGGCGCACTTACCACAGTCCCTTAGCGTATCCACAAGAAACGGGAGGTGACCGGTTTCTTGACGGCTCAGTCTCGAATAGCAACGATCAAATCAAACCCCAAAAAAGTTTTAAAACCCCAAAAAAAAACTCTTCGTCGTCTCTCTCTCTCTCCCCTCTCTCTCTCTCTGCGTGTGTGTTGTTTCTACGCGCTGCACCTCAAACTTTTGTTTTTCCCTCCTCTCCCCTCTGTGTTGTCGTGTCCTTCTACAAAAGGCACGTGCATCCAGACGGAGCGTTGGCGCACCGCAGAGTAAGTTCACTTCGTTGGCCTTGTATGTTGTTGTCTTCTTTTCTTCTTTTCCCGTCTCTGTCCTCTTTTTGTTTTTTTTCCTTAGGTTTCTGTTGCCGCCAAAGAACGGGAGCCTGTTTGTAGCCGTCGTGGTGGTTGTTTGCCGAGTGTTGCCGCTTGTTTTATTGTTTCCTTCCTCGTTGGGCCAAACACGAGTAAGTTGTGTCCGCTGCGCTCGTGAGAGAGTAGACCCACTTCTCTCTTTCTCTCTCTCTATATATATAGAGAGAGAGAGTGTCTCCCTCCTGTTCAATCTTTCTTGTTCTATTGTCGCTGTGGATGTTGGCATGGGTGTGCGAGTACAAAAATAAATAGGTTATTCTTCTTACTCTGTTGTTTGTCATTGCTCGCGGCGTGTGTGTGCGCGGTGTATTGATTACTTACCAGCTGCTGCGGTGCATAGCACTCTGATTCCTACACCTCTCTTTTACCTTTTGTTTGCTTGTTTCCTCTCTCTCTCGCTCCAGCCAGCGCGCGTGCCCTGATCTTGCTCCTGCTTCCTGTCCTTGCACTTTCCCCTCCCTCGTTCGTTCAGGTTTATTTAATTTTTTTTCTCTTTTGTGAGGTCCGCGCCGTGCCACCGTTACTCAGCGGTGTTATTATTGTTCTTCTTGTTATTTCTCCGAGCACGCTCGTGTCCACACGCGTCAGGAAAGGCGGGAGAGTTCTCAGCTGAAACAACCGTGACACACACACACACGTATATATCGTGTTATCTCCCGAAAAGGCAGAGAAAGAAAAAGAGTTGTGCCACTTCACGTCCCATTTATTATTATTATTATTATTTCTTTCTTTATTATTATCTGTCTCGGTGTTTCGGCCTCCGCCCGCCTCCGCCCTCGTCCTCCTCCTTCACCTCTGCGTTTCTTCTTTCATTCGCACCGTGAAGAGGAGCAAAGCAGTTGTACCGGGGCAAGGAAGTCAAGCTAGCAGGAGACCAAAGGAAACCTCAAAGAACATATTCTAAAGAAAACAAACGGCGCAGAAGCGATTTATATATATATATATATACACACACACGAAATGTCAGACCCTGCACCCGCAGCTGACACGCCGTTGGAGCCGCCGAGAGTCCCCGCTGCGGCAATGCCCGGTGCACCCGCCACCGCAGCCGCAGCGGCCACCGCCGGGGCGAAAGGGGATGTGAAGATTCCTCTGGCGACCGCGTCGGCGCCGGCGTCGCCCGCGGCGAACCAAGCCCGGCACAACAGCGCCAATAACAGCACTATTGCAGACTCCACAGCCAACAACAATAGCGGTACCGTTGGTATCATCAGCGATAACACCACCGTCGCGACGCCGAAACCGCCGGCGCCGGCCGAGACGCGCTTGAACGCAAATGCGAAGTCCTTCACGCCGTCCGCCGTGCCCCCACCGCCACCGCCACCGCCGCCGATGATGCCGCCGGCAGCGGCAGGGGGAGGAAATGGTACGACTCTCCCACCCGCCCAGCAGCCGCAGCACCCACCACCACCACCACCACAGCAGCAGCAGCAGCAGCAGCAGCTACCACTACACCAACCACAACCAACAGCGCCCAAGGGCAATCACTACAACAATAGCAGCAGCAAAGCTGTGTTGCCGCCGCCGCCGCCTCCGTCTGCACCGACGGCGCCCGTATCGGCGAAGGGCGTGCCCGCAATGCCAAACCCGGGCAGCAAAACCATGCCGATGACGCCGCAGTACCCGCCGGGCATGCAGCCGGGAAAGCAGCCGATGATGGGCTTCGGCCCGACCCCTTTTCCAGGTGCGATGCCGCCAGAGATGATGGGCGGTCCTGTGCCTGGCGGGTACATGATGCCGCAAGGTTTTATGCCGCCGCCGCCGGGCATGCAGATGCCCCCGCCACCGCATATGCTGTACGGCCAGCCAGGCGGACCGCCGCCGCAGGCTGTGCCGGGTGGGATGATGTGGATGCCGCATCCCCAGCAGCCGAACCCGCAGCAGCCGCCCAACCAGCCGCAGCAGCCCGGCATGCCGATGAATGGTATGTTTCCGATGCCCATGGCGATGCCACAGATGCAGATGCCGCCACCACACGGGCAGCTACCCGGGCACCTGGCCATGCCTCCACCGCGGCCAGGATCAGCAGGCCCAGGCGCGACAGCAGCTCCGCTGTCCGCGTCGTCTTCTTTTTCGCATCCACCCGCACCGGCCGCGGGGCCAAAAGCGGGTGTGGTGCCGTCCCCGATGCCAAACGCCAATGCACAACTCCGCCCGCCGTCGCACGGGCAGACACCAATGCTGCCACAGCCACAGCAGCACCAGCAGCAGCAGCAGCACACACACCCCTTGCCTGGCATGATGCCCGGCATGCCGCCGCCGCCGGGGATGATGGCGTACTTCCAGCCCCCTCCCGGTATGATGCCGCCTGGCATGATGCCGGGTCCGATGATGGCCCCGCCAAGCATGCAGCAACAGCAGCAGCTGCAGTTCCAACAGCAGCAACTTCAGTTTCAGCAGCAGCAGCAGCAGCGGTCAAACACGGTGAACAACAGCGTGCCGAGGCAGCCATCGCTGACGGTGCCCATGCCGGGTTGCGGCAATAGTCTCTCCGCATCGGGTATTATGCTTCCGCCGCCCCCGCCCGTGTCGAACGCCGCCGCAGCAGCAGCAGTGACAGCAGCACCTGGGACGACCGCCGCAGCAGTGGCGACGGCTGCTGCTTCAGGAGCCACGCAGGCCCGCATCAGTGTGGGCAACGCGACGCTCGCAGCCCTCAACTCGAAGGAGCCGCCGAAGTTCTCGTGTGTGCTGCTCTCTGGCATCCCGGCAGTCGGCAAGACAACGCTCGGCCGCGAGTTGGTGAACAGCCTTAAAACCGATGGCATGGGCTGGGCCTTCTTTAGCGGCGCGGACTTCCTGGTTGAGCAGCAGGGCAAGCGCTCTGTCTGGGAGACAACGAGGGAGGTCTTCGACGCCCTCAGCACCCGCCTGGACGAGCTGCTCGAGCAGCAGCGAGAGAGCCGCAGCATCAAAGGGCTCGTCATCGACAAGAACTGCAAGGGCATTGAGGATGTGTACTACCTGAACGCGCTGCTGCGGTCAAAGAACATCCCCTTTGTCGGGATTGTGGGCCTGGAGTGCGCGGATGACGAAGTGCTCGTACGGCGCATGGGCGGCGACGATGACTTGAAGGAAAAGCTGAAGTTCCACCGCGTGATTCACGCCCGCATCGTCAGCCTGGCGAAGAGCGCCGGCATGTACCGCTTCGTCGACGCCACGAAGAGCAAGGACGAGGTCGTCCAGCAGCTGCGGACGATGGTGTTGGGGTGCTGTGCCCAGCCGCCCAGCCGCAGCATCGCCGGGCACCAGTACGAGGACTCCCGCGCCAACGTCATGGTGGATGACTACAAGGAGTACAGCGACGTGCTCACGCACCTGTTCAAGTGTGTCAGCAACCGCGGCTCGCAGTTCCCCGGCAGCGCCGACCTGCTCCTGCCCTTCTCCACGAAGGAGATGACCGACAAGAAGACCGTCAACGCCCTTAAGTCGCGCTACGGCATCCGCAGGAAGGTCTCCGGCAATCGCTACCTCCTCCTCTACCACGAGAAGAAGCTGTACCTCGTGCCACCGCACATGCGCGCGGTGCTGCTGATGCCGCTGAAGGCCTGGCTCGGGACCCGGCTGGAGGGCGAGAAGGTTGGCACCTTCGTGCTGGAGGGCGACCTGGCTCGCCTCTGCCACGACCGTCAAAAGGAGATGTTTCTCGTGTACGACGCCTGCTACTGGAGCGAGGCCGCCGACCCGGCGAGCAACACGATGCTGCACATGACCTTCGCCGAGCGGGAAGCATTCCTGGCCGGCAACATGTGCAACGAGGCGCAGGCGTTCATCGGGGCGGATACGGAGTGCGTCGTCGTGCACCAACCCACTCAGAAAATGAGCACCGCGCTGGACATGCTCGACTCCGAACTTTACCCGAGCGACGGACTCGTCTTCCAGGCCGTCAACCCGCTGCACCGCAGTGACCACGCCTTTGTGTGGCAGCAGCCGTCGTGCCTGACGGTGGACTTCCGCGTCGGGCGGCAGACGGACACGAAGGCGTCGCACGAGTCGGACGTGCTCGACGGCAACGGGGACTCCCGCCGTGGGTTTCTCCCGTCACAGTCGCCAAGCAATAGAAGTGTTTCTGCTGCTGCCACGTCTGGTGTCGGTGCTGCTGGCGCTGCTGCTGCTGCTGCTGCGACGCGCCGTGGCAGCACCGACGCCTTCCTCGACCTGCCAGTGCACACCTTCGCGCTGGAGGTGTACGACAAAACGGAGAAGATGTACGTGCAGTACGAAGACGCCACCGTGGACGTGCGACACCCCGACGTGGTGGAGGGCTGCATCGTCACCTGCAGCCTCGTGGACGGCAGCCCGCGCCGGTGGCTCTTCCGTCGCCTTCGCTACGACGTCCTGCGCCCGATATATAAGATGGACCTCGACAAGCTGCTCGGCGCCTGTCTCATCCCGCGTGCGAAGCTCGTCTCGTGGCTGCTGAGCGAGCAGCTCGTGCCGTCGGAGATACAGCCGGATGGGCACGGAGGTGCGGGTGGTGTTGGCGTCGCCGGTGGCACCTCGAACATCCCGAGCGTGCCACCGCCGTCGTACGACGCAGCCGCCGCGGCGGTCGGCAGCATGAGCAAGAACGCCGCGCCGATGGGTCCGATGGGCGGCACAAATGGGACGCTGTTTCCGCCACCACCGCCACCACCGCCGCCGCCGCTCCGCGCGTG